TTCTTTAAAATTTATCTTCAGGATTATTTTAAAAAATAATATCCTTAGTCTCAAAGGCATAGTCTTTGGAATTTTTTTCAAGCTAAGTGAACCATTAAACACCTCCATTGCTACTTAAAATACCAAATGGGTGACTACTTTTCCACTTTTTCTTGGCAGAGATTTTCCTTTAGGATCTGTAGAAGAGTTTATGGTCACCTAAGGATGTAATGATTTTCATTAAGGGATTAAATTCCTTTACTTTGTGTAATAAAATCCTGATATACTTGAAGACTGGTGGGAGGTAGTATTCTAATAGAATTTTCAGTTAACTCAGTATTGACCAGACGATTTTACGCTGAAAATCTTTTCAGCCTATTAGTAACAGTGCTTTTGGATTTTGTAGGATATAGGTCATTTTGATTATCATTATATAAAGTTACTAAAAGAAATTGAATTGGAACTCCTAAGCACTGTTAATAAGTTAAATGTTCAGACATAAACCAAAGAACAAAAACAAAAATTTAAGTTTCCATTTTCTTTACTGTGCACTAAGCATTCTAGGAATCTGATTGTGTCTGTCAGTTTGTATACTGTGTAAGAATATATGCATTTCTTTTGTAGCCACGTCATGAATATTTTAATGTCCCTGTGTACTAAATGACTACTCATCGTGTATGCAGAATTTCACAGAGGAAATAGAGAGCTGATATACTTATGAAAGAAAATATCCTCAGCTTGGTGACTATCTTGTATAATAGAGCATTTCAGAACTAATACCTTTCAATTGTAATTGTTTTTCCTGTCCTCATTTTTCTTTTTCTGTTTTATTTTCGTTCTATATGTGATCTTGATGTAGTTTAGTCCTGCTCGCAACTGGTTTAATTTCTACTTGAGATATGACCTATGAATGTTTGAGTAGTGTTTCATCTTAAACACATACATGTCATAATCTACGAACCATCTATGATTAAAATCTTGTAAGAGGAAAATTTAGCCATCATTAAAATGGTTCACCAAAGAAAATATAGCGGAAACGCTATGGCAAAATAAGCAGTGCAGTAACCTAGATAGTGTGGCTTGGTCTTTCAAAGAAATTCTATTTAGTGTGACTGTATTACAGCCTATATGAGCTAACATATTCTAATGTATCCCATAAAAGTGTATTTGGAAATAATTCCAGAAAGTAAAATCTGTACTTTACATGGTATTTAAGGGTAAAACATTCCACAGTTCTTAAGTTCGTGATGCACCTCTATTCAGTCACATATGTGCTGGACAGTATTGAACCGTCCCTTGAAGGATGATCAGAAAGCTGTGTCAGAAGTCTCTGCTGCAGTATCTCTTGTTCAATAGGAAAATTCTAATACTCAGTTTAAATACTAATATTTTACTAGTTATGGTTTTATAGTATATATTAAGTCTTCATTTAAATATTTAATGATTTGTTAACTCTGGTTTTATGTTAAGACTTTTAATATTGATCATTATTGTGTATACTTTTAATAAAACATGCAACTTATTTTATTATAAAAGGAAAAGTACCAAATAATTCATTGTTCCTATCTAGAGAGTTTAAAGCCTACTAAGTTATCAGTAAACAAATTCAGAAGACGCTCAAACAGGTTTACCACTGAAAGAAGACCTATGAAAATGTAGATTAGGCAGGTATGCAGAGCAGTTTGTTCCATTCTCTATGTCCTGCATTACATTTGAAGCACCTGGATGGGCTGTCAAATGAGAAACTTAGCATTATACATTGAAAGCATTGGGAAACATTGGTCTTCCATTTCCATTTTTTTTTCCTCTGTCCCTCCCCCCACCCTGCAAGATGTTATTTGTCTGGTTTTGATGCTGAATATGCATTGTCTCCTGCCGGTTTGCTTTGGATGCTGTGTGCTGAGCTGTAACAAGATGTTGCTTCTTTTGTTATTTGTATACAGCTGCTTGCTTTCAATTCACAGATTCTGAAATCGCTTTTCTTGCACGTCTAAAATAAAAGTATTGCATGTACTTTGTCTCATGTGAATGGCTTTTTTCTTCTCCATCCCTTTTGACAAATAATATATTTTATATCTTGGTTTTTCCAGGTAATTTTATTAAATCGTGTAAAAAAACAAAAGTGGTTAAGCTGGCAAATTCTGTTAAGTTTACAGTTCAGTACTGTTAAGTACATTCACAGTGTGGTGCAACTGACGTCCAGAAATGTTTCCTCCTGTGAAACCGAAACCGTATCCATTAAACAACTCTCCATTTCCCTTCCCCTCAGCCCTTGGTAACCACCATTCTACTTTGTTTCTAGGAATGTGACTACTTTAGCTATGAGTCCTTCTAGGTAATTTTGAGCTACAGTTTCAGTGTCAACATGGGAAAATTACATTTTATACTATGGACACAATTTGTAAAAGAAACTAATGTACTATTTGTAAAAGTCTCAAGGAGTAAAATGTATAAATGATTCCTTTAAGCCAGGCCTTTTAGAAAGGACACATTTTAAATAATGCATATTTGATACGTAACATGGTTCTCTTCATGAAATGCTATATAGGACTGTAGGCAGTAAGCCCACAGGGGAAATCTGACCAGCTCCAGGGAATAGAATGAGAGACATTTTTACATGGATAAGGGAAGAATGTTAGCTGTATAGAATTCAATGTAGGCATCTTTTAATAAATGCATTAAAGGTTGTATGGTGTTTTTAAAAACTATTTAACATTACAGTTGACCTATGAACAATGAGGGGGTTAGGAGCACTGACCCTCCCAGGCAGCTGAAAACCCACATATATAACGTTTGACTCCCCACAAACTTAATAGCCTACTGTTGACTGGAAGCCTTACCAATAACCTCAACATTCCATAACACATCTTTTGTGTATGTATTATATACTGTATTCCTACAGTAAAGTAAGCTGGAGAAAAAATGTTAAGGAAAATACATTTACAGTACTGTATGGTAAAAAGCCTCCGTATAAATGGACCTGTATAGTTCAAATCTGTGTTGTTCAAGGGTTAAATGCAAATGATTATTTTTACATCATTTCCTTTATTTAGGGTGTATGTGATTCAGATGTCAGTATATTTAGTGTTTAAAGCTAAACATAAAGAGACTGGTTTACATCATTCTTGGGAGTGCTGCATCTTTTCCATTAGACTTTCTTTAAAAACTATCACGAAAACTCTGAGACATGCAAATAAAACAGCAGAAGGAACCTTCATGTGCACATCACTCAGCTTCAACACCCCTCAACTCAATACCCATAGTCATATGCTCGTTGCGTTGTCTGTTTCCCACCACCCCCTCCACTTTGGCCTCAGCATTTTAAAGCAAGCCCTGGACATCATTTCATCTTTGATACTTCAGTATGTATCACCAAGAGACAGAAGTACCCACACACCCCCAAAATTAACAGTAACTCTTAACATCTTGTTCCTGGTTCAGTTTTTCCTAATTGCCTGAAAATTGCATTTCTGTAATCGGTTTGTTAGAACCAGATGCCCACTAAGGCTCACATTGTATCTGGTTGATGTCTCTTCAGTCTTTCCATCTTTAACAACTCCTCTGCTTTTCTCCCCTGCCATTGTTTTTTTTTTTTTTTTTTTTTTTTTAACCGAGTCAGCCATGCTGTAGCATATCCCCCATTCCGTATTTGGTGGATTGTAATCCTGTGGCAATGTTTAACTTGTTTTCCTATCCCCCATAGTATTTTGATGTAGCCTGGTTAGGCTGAGGTTTGATGTGGGGGGCGGGGGCAAGAATACTTCATAAAAACCTTTTTCTTTCCCCCTACCAAAGCCGATTTTTACCCATTTTTCGTTAATAAACCTACTAAAAGATCATGTGAACTTTATACAGAGTTGGTTTATAATATTTTATTTAGTACTGAATGCTAAATACCTTCATGTAGGTATAGGTCTCAATCGTGTAATGGTACCAGTTAACATTTTTTGAGCACTTCCTAGAAGTCCGGCACTAAGCCTTCTCTCCCTTAAATGTCTATGTATGAAGGTAAGTACTGTGATCCTTGTTTTCCAAATCAGGAAACGGGCTAGAGTTTAATTTACTTAAGATTACTCCATGTAATGCTTATATACAATTAAACCTAATGTATGGATTTATAGTTTAATATTTTTCTTTTCCTTGTTTTGTGCTGTACCACAATTAGGATGCAAAAGTAAGTTAATTTACTATTGGATGCTAAAAATTGCATTTTTTCCATTAAATTGTCGAATGCCTTTTAATTACAAAATTGTTGCAAGTAATACCTGAATTTGACCTGGTCCTGTTTTGTGATATGCATAATCAGCCACTTTGGAAGATTTTTAATAATTTTTTTCTAGCTATGCCTGCTTTTCTTTGCCTTCCTTTGACATTTAAAAATGAGTACTGGTTGTGGCATAAGACAAAAATGCCTTTGGTCCTAGAGTATTCTTTCTATTATGTTGCCTCCCCTGAAGCCACTGGTTGCCCCGGGGAGGGCTGGGAAGGTGAGTTTCTGAAGCCGTGCTGCTGGGGACAGTTAAGTCAAAAACTGAGTAAAAACACAGAGGAAGACATTTCTATAAATACATGGGACCAAAATGATTAAAAAAAAAAAAAAAAGCATGGAAAATAAAAGTATGTGAAGATTCAGGAGAACTCTGGGTTTTCCCTGCTTTTTTTTTAGGGGGGGAGGCTTTCGATTTTAACACTAAGGTAACACCTTTCCTGTAGCTAATTCGATAGCAGTGATTTCCTAAATTGCCAGTGGGTTTGCCTGCTTTTTGTGTGACAGTAGTGGTGCCCAGCACATTGGTAGGTAATCAGTAGGTATTTAATGCATGCTCAAAATATCCTTCTGTGGTGTCTGATGTTGGGGGCACAAAACCCTAAATAACACGCCTGCTCTCAGTATTCGAATGTGCCCAAACCAATGACCTGCTTGCATTGTTCTGTGAAACTTGCACATCCTTCCGTGTCAATTTCACATTCTCTAGCCTCCCCGGATCTGCTTACCAGAGTCTCACATTTTCCCTCCACAGGAAGCTGAAACCCCACGTAGTGTCCTTGAAGAAATTGGACTGACATAACTCTCCTCCCTTGTTGATGACTTCTTGTGGCATTTCACACACTGTAGATGGTCACTGCCTTCATGTCCATGTTAGCTAATGGTATAAGATGACGTCTTGTCAGTATTACTGTTTTGCTAAGCTGCTTCATTCAGGCCTACACAAAATTTTTTTTTAAAGGGAACTTTGGTTAATCAAATGATAAGGGACTTAAATACGAATTAGAATGATGCAGAAAAATAAAGGTACCATTTCTGGATATTTTAAAGTTTACAGATCTGTTTATCTCAATCTAATCATGTATCTTATTAGAATGACACAATCAGGCAATATACGTTCATTAATTACCATCTTTGGCAAAGGAAACTTAAATTAAAATATGAAACCTGGTTTTATGAAACCAAAGACTAGTGTGTAGCATTGCAGCATATATGAGAATAAAGGGAATTGATACATACCAAATGAATTAAAATTTAACTGTTTATGTTGACTTAAAAAAAAATTTATGCCATTATTTATTCCTTATTGGAAACTACATACTTAAAGGGAATACATAAATGACTAAATTGAAATGATGTGTTTTACACTAAAAATTATTTCTCCAGCTTTCCAAGCTGGGGTCGAGGAACAGAGATCGACTGTTTAATAGTGAGCACGTTACTTTTAAGGCCAAGGAACATTCAACTCCTGAGACAGATTTTTTTTGTGGTCATAACCATTTAGTGACTTGGATGGTTTTTGATGCCCCCAAATAAAAATGGAAACATTGACTTACCGGAATTCTTCACAACAGTATCTTACAGAAAAATGTGTTCTTCTCTTCACAAAATGTTGCTTAAGTCATTGTTTAAAGCACGAATGCTCCTTCTGGGGTGCTTGTTAACGGCCAAGTTTATTTTGCTTCCCTCCACTTAACAAGTGCTGCACACTTTAGGGCAGCTTCCTTCCCTTCCATGGCAATGCCTAGTTATCAGAAATCTTACAAAAGCAGACAGACACCACGTTTCATGTAAAACAGAGTTGAATGAGGTAAAATGACATTAGTGGGCCCTGTATTTTTTTAAAGCTATACAGTTGTTCCAATGTCACTTTTATACATACTTCTGTATATGTGAACATGTCTTCATGGTTTACACTTTCATTTGTATCTGCTGGGCTGGATTAAGCTTTGTTGTGATTGTGACCAATACATATTCAGGCCGTGTTAGCACTGTCTTTATCACATCACCAATTAGTTGTAATAAATGTTCAACATACACCACTGTAGTGTGTTTTTATCTTTCTCTTTGCAAAACTTTGTCAAACTATGGGGAGCTGCTGAAAGAATTTTAAATTTTTCTCAGTAAAATGTCGAAAATTCACCTCCAATTGCAGGTGGATGCTAAAAGCACACACAAGACAAATGATGGAAGATACAAGTTTTCATGTACTTAAAGCTCACTAAAAAATAATGTGGCTTCCACGCTGAGAGCTTATCTACACATTTATTTTCAATCAATAAATGCCGCTTTTAAAACCTTGATGCAGTTGACGTTTCTACTTTCTGAATGAGCAACTCTCATTACTCCAGGTAATCAAAGGTATTGCAAATCAACCAGATCCCCAACCCCCAGCACCCCCTCCCCCCCACCACCACTGGAGGTGCTAGTACGCTCGCCAAAATGAACTGGTATTTACAAACTGCTGCCTAATAGAAGCAGCAACTCATAGCTTTGGTTATGATAGTTAAGGGGCCTCCTACTAACTGCAGATGGGAAATATTACATAGTAAAGCGAGGATATTAAAGAACAAGGCATCAACTACCATCAAGTTTCTAGTCTGCTAAAAAGATACTTGCAGACATGGAGCGTCTCCAACACTCGTCTGGTTTATTCACTGAAAACAGGCTTGCTGGGCTTCTGCTGGCGCTGTAGAGCTGGAATGTTTAAATCATAAATAGTAATCAGGTTATAAGTTTAAGAAACAGTAATACATTTAAGTTCAAGATGGACATTTATCAGGATAGTGAACCAGTCCACTGGCTGAAAACTGCTCTCTCCCTCCCTCCACATCGCAGTGCCCATGAACGCTGGAGGGAAAAGACCCCATCATCTCGTAATTACCTTGAGCACAAGCTGGTGTTTATCCTATTTTGTCCTCCATGATCTATGAAGGCTATTCAGCTTGGGATACCACCTTTAATTATGTATATCTTGGCCATATTTAGGGAAGTACTGAAAAATACTGGATTTAGTGATGGTTATGCATTCAGCATTAGTGAATCCAGTAGGTAATTACAGAAAATTTTCAATCATTTTTAGGGTAAAGCAGGCATTTAAGGTTGAACAAATCAATTTTTAAAGTAAAATGATTTCTGGACCATACTAACTTTTATGGGCTACATATTAAGAACTCCCACTTTCAACACATAACCACTCACTCAGAAATCCCAATCTTGAAATTTCTTTCCCTTTCTGTTAGCTTCAATACTTTGGGCATCCTTAAGCCCTTATTTCCAAATCCCTAGTTGCCAAAAGCCACATACTCTGAAATTCAAGATGTCCAGTATGGCAATGGAAAGGTTACGAAGAAAATTCAAAACGTGTAAGTTAAGTATAAGAGCATCTTTTCTTTTTTATGATCTGAAATCGAAGAATGATATTTTTTTGCCTTAAGCCTTTTTTTTAAACAGAAGGTTCTGACCCCTTTTTAAATAAGAATTGCTTTAACACTAGACAGATTAGTAGCGATGACCCTCATTTTCCTAAACATGACAAAAATAAGACTTACCTCTATATCAACAGCTCCCCAACACACTATAAAAAAGATGAAGCCCCTAATGGAGAACCTCCAGCTGAGAAGGGGCTGTGAATACGGGCCAGGAGGGAGAGGAAATAAATGGACTTTACCCTTTAAGTACTTTAAAACAAAAGGAACTTTAAAGTCAAAAAGCTGCTCAGCTATTGCATGTAGAAAAACCCAGGAGCTTATTAATAAAGGGCAAACAACCAAATTTAACAGTCATTAAATACAGAAAAGGTGGCTGAGGCAATACGTAGAGAAACGAAACAGTTAAACACAAAATTTACCAAATCGGCAAAGACGAACTTGGTGGTGTGAGAAAAGCAAAACTTATTGTTGTGGCCTTTCTGGAGGGCAATCTGGAAACGCTTCAGGAGTCCTAGCTCTTGATGTAACATAGTTTATCATAAGGAAACGGTCAGAAATGTGTGAAAGCATTTAAGGAAATCCACAACAGGACTGTTTGCAGTACTGGATTCTTTAATAGTGCAAAATCAAAGGTAATTTAAAATCCAACAATAGGGATATGGTTGAATAAAGGGATAGGTCCACGCTGGGCAGTGAGAAAAGGAAGAGGCTTGATGAAATAGGTTTGGCGGAGGAGAAAAAAACATTTTCAACTGCAGCCATATATGATCTTTCTGTGAAAAAAAAAAAAAACCAACCAACCACGCGTGCAGACGCAGAAGAAGAGGAAAAGGCATAAGCACTGCTCCCGTGTGAACGTTCTCGCTAAGGGTTAGGATTACAGGTGATTTCCAGGCCATCCGTACACTGTAGGTCTTCTAGGTTTTCTATACTAAACACACTGCTTCTCAGAGAATAAAGGCCTTTTTAGATAGGGTTCTGCCAGACTTGCTCAGCCGTCGAGCTCAGAGCCCCCTCGACCCCAGTATGAAGCAGCCCTCATAAATAAGATCTACAATCACGTAAGAACAAAGTACGTTTATTTGCATTTGGGGCTCTGAAGAGTTCTGTCTCTGCTGCCTGACCTCCTCCTGCCGCGGCTCCTGGACCTAGAGGAGCTCTGGCTCCCACTGCCCCAGCCCCGGCTGCGGGCCCTTTTCCTTGCTCTACTTCTTGAACTGTGCCTCTCGCGACTCTTTGCCATGTGTTTGTGAGACTTCTGGCCCCGGCGCCTGCTTCTCCTCTTCCTCTCTGCTTCCCCGTTCCTCTTGTAGGAGTGCGATGGGCTAGGGCTCCGTCTCCTCCTGGGCCTCCCATAGTACTCCTCGTGGTGGCCCGTCCTGTCTCTCCTCTCCGGGCCCTTACCGAAGGAGGGGCCAGTCCGATCAGGAGACAGGTAGATGTCTCTGTTGGCCTCCCAAAACTCATTGTTGGGATTTCGGAACACATGCAGGAAGTTGCAGTGTTTTCCTCGTGGGCACTGTTGTATTTCAAACAAACCTGCAATGGCACAGTGAGGAAACAGCATTTACTGCTGGCGCTTTACCTTTTTCAGAAGGCACGCTGCCGATGTTCAGACGTGACAGGCCTATCTCCTCCTGTGCATTATCTCAAAGCGGCCTACGTAAAGTGATCTCATAGCTCTAGTTCCCAGAATTTCAAAACAATCACAAACGCTCTAACAAACGGCACTGTGAGGGGTAACGAAACCAGAAGTTTTCATTACGCCGATACCCTGGTCCCCGACCGGATGAGGCTGTGGGGTGCAACCAAACAAACGGTGACCACATAGGGGTTTTGTGTGTTTTTTTGTTTTTTTTTTAGGGTTTCACCATCCCGGCAATGGATGGTGTCGATCCCTAATTAACACTGAACACCCAGCCCTCGGGAGGCCCTGTGACAGGGTGTTCTGACAGCATGCCGGTGGCAGGACAGGGCTACTGGCCCAAAGAGAGCCTCTGAGAGGTGGACGGCTTGGTATATTTTCTTTATACTTTAAGAAGAAGAGGGGAAACATTGGCCTAACGCTTTTAAATTTACCAAGTGCTTTTAATATGGAAGATTCTTGTCACAGCTGAAATCTATCTGAACAACTTAGAGATCCTCTTGAAGCTTTCAAACTCTTTTTTTAAGTCCATAAATTCCCCAGACATGTAAAACAGTTAAAAGTCAAATACCTCCCTACCACACATTATATACAAAAAGCCAAAATCGATCAGAGTCCTAAATGTAAGACATGAAACCATACAACTGTCTGAGGAAGACATACAAGTAAAATCTTTGTGACACTGGGCTGAGCAATGGATTCTTAGGTATGACACCAAAAGTACAACCAAAAAACATAGATTAGATAGACACATAGATAAAATGGATTTCATCAAAATTAACTTTTGTACTTCACAGGACATCATCAAAGTGAACAGACAACCCACAGAATGGGAGAAAATATTTGCCAATCATGTCTGCAATAAGAGGCTTGTCTCTAGAACGGATCAAGCACTATTACAACCCAATAATAAAAAGACAACCTAATTAACAATGGGCAAAGTATCTAAAGAGACATCTCTCCAAGGAAGATTTACAAATGGCCAATAATGAGGACACACAAAAATTGCTCAACATCATTAGTTACTTTGGAAACCAACAAAGCTGTTATTTAAAAAAAAAAAGCACTGGGGCGCCTGGGTGGCTCAGTCGTTAAGCGTCTGCCTTCAGCTCGGGTCGTGATCCCAGGGTCCTGGGATCGAGCCCCACGTCAGGCTCCCTGCTCAATGGGGAGTCTGCTTCTCCCTCTGCCTGCAGCTCCCCCTGCTTGTGTTCCCTCTCTCGCTGTGTCTCTCTCTGTCAAATAAATAAATAACATCTTAAATAAACAAACAAACAAGCAAGCAAGCAAGTAAAATAGTCTCCTGCTTTGGGGGAGGCCAATGTCACACTCAGAAGTACCTCACTGAAAACACACTGGATTCCCAGGAACTGACAGAAATAACCGCCTTCAGGGAAAAAAACAGTTCCATCTCTTTCAGCCCACAAGCTTTCAAATTTCAGGCATAATGGTTCTTCTGCTTTCCAAAGCAAGGAATTCTAAATTCTTTTTTTTTTCCCCTTGAATAAATGGTTTTTTAACTGCCAGCATCCATTAAGACCAGGCTGCCAAAGATAAAGACTTTGTAAATTATACATTTTTTTAATAAGAGGTTTTAAGCAGGCAAGTGTAAAGCCAAGAAAAGTAAAGGGTAAGCAAAGTGCCCCCTAAGGCACGGACAGTTCCAGCTCTTTGCTTCCGGAGTCGTTCAACAATAAATAGTTTGGCTAAGCCCATCCAACAAAAATTAAAAAAAAATGAGGCCTTCAAAACTGCTGGCTACTCAAAGGACTGACTCATTTCTTGACTTGGCAGCCACAGTCCGATGAGTCAGTCTGACTGAATGCATGCTGACCGGATCCTACAGCTATAATCAGTCTCTACTGCACAAAAGCATGTCTTTCAAGCAAGGCAGGCAATGTTATAACGTTTTACGTGGCAAGGATGACAGAAAATTCATTAGGGATAAAGATGGCGGGGGCAAAAACCCAGCTTGAGTGAGGGGAGCCAATGAGGAGAGATCACTTCCGCCGGTGCAACAAGGAAAAGGTGGCTTCCCACAAACATGACTCCTCGGGCTTCCTGAAGTTTTAAAGCCCAGGAATGAGGATGAGAAGATGGGAATTCTAGCCCCAACTCTGTCACTGATACACTGTCACTTCAGTCACCTCATCCATAAAGTGACCCACAAGGTCTATCACTGATCTCACACGCGAGCTTCTTGATATAACGATCTCTGCTCGTCTAGTTCAGGAGGCAGAAGCTATGTTTTACCCCTTTAAAAGACTTTTTTTTTTTCGGGGCGCCTGGGTGGCTCAGCCGGTTGAGCATCTGACTCTTGATCTCAGCTCAGGTCTTGATCTCAGAGTTGTGAGTTCAAGCCCCGCATTGAATTTAAAAAAAAAAAAAAAAATTTGTTTTTTCCCTTAAGAATGTCCCTTTACACAACAGTGGAACCACTAGGGTAAAATCATCGTGTTGTATTTTACCACAAATTGCCATTTTCCATCGGGTCACTGGGCAGAATTCGCACTGGAGCTGCCGTCCTGCGTACCATCGTCCATTAAACAGGGAAAGGGCTGCTTGACATTCTTCTTCCCTTTAAAAAAAAGCCACGAATTAAAGGATGCCTTTTACAGTAACTTTCTATTATGGAGATGGCCCCCACTGTTAATGACCTTTTTTACTAGTTTACCATAGGACCACCAAGTTCACTGCTTTCGTACTAGGGAGTCCTCATGAGGGCATTCAAGCTCCTGAAAGCTCACAATATATTCAGGAACGCTTTTTACTAACTTTCCTGGAGGTTCTGATGCATGGAAATCAGCTTGAGTCAAAGCAGCTCAAACCAAAAGACTGGACCATTAAAAATGCACAAGGGTTTACCATTGTCAGAGCCTCTCCTTTCTTAGCAAGGATTGCCATTTTTCTTACTACAATGGTTAATTTAACCCATCAGCCACAGCATGTCTCAGACAAACAGCAGGACAAGCAGAAAGGATATACCAACTGCTCTCTTAGGGGGCGGAAAGCATACCGAGATTACACGGTATCCTTTTCTGTTCTCTATGCTAGTTACCCCTTTTCAGTTTGTATTTTAATTAATAAAACTATGTAAGTAAAAAAAATGACCATTGTAAAAGATTCAAAACTATGTAAGGATCCAGCGAATGAAATACAAATGCGTTTTCAAGTCCCCTCTCTATATATTTCTATATCAGCTCTTAATATTTACATTTTTAAAAATACCACGCATATGAAAGCTATTTAGTGGGGAAAACCCCAGACAGCAACGTAATTACAACGCTATACCAAGACGAAATGTGAAGATGTTTATGTTCAGAATACTTACGATTGATACTGAACATACACATTGCCCCTCAGATGAGGTTCCAAGTTGCAGCTGACCTAAAGAGCAATGAAGAATTTGATCATAAAAAAAAAAAAAAAAGAAGAAGAAGAAGAAGGAAGAGAAACCCTCCAGTCATCATAATGCACTTTGTCCAGGGGAACACTACCAGAAGTAGTTCTCATTTGAAGATTCCAAAATCCAGCTACTGTACCACTCCCAGGTCTGTTTAAGGCTTCCACAAACAGCAGTGATACAGGCCCCAACTATTTGATCCCTGTTGATCCAGATTCGTTTTTCACAGACATGAAATGCTTCACACATACATAAAAACAGAGAACAAAAATCAACCCAGATATCTAGCACACAGGTTCAACACCAATGCTTTCCATTTTTGACGAAGAATGGTTAAATATGCAAAACATTAAAGACCCAGTTGAAAGCCTTCTGCCTATTCTCCCTTCCCCATCACAGGGATAAGCACTAACTACTCTGAGGCTGGAGTATCCTTCACATTCCAAATGCAAACATCCGTACACAAATACACGTGCACCTATCTACACGGACACCAACACTCATATCCGTATGTACACAGACAGGCATATACACATACATCATATGCATGCCATCAAATCCTACACATATTATGCATAGACGTGTCTATTATGAATACATGGGTATATTTATGTATACATATGCAAAGAAACTTGTATATATGTACTGATAAACACTGTACAGTATTGCTTTATACATTTTAAATTTTTACACAAATAATGTATATTTTACATTCTTTTTTCACAATATCATCACATAAACATAAGGACTCATTTTAACTGTACATTGGATATATCAAATTATCAAATTTACCTACTCCTCTAATGATGACTATCCAAGGTGCTTCCAATTTTTCATCAACAAACAGTGCTGCAGTCAGCATTCCTGAACATGTCTCTGTGAGTAGAAGGATTTCTCTAGTATGCATAACCAGAAGTAGTGTGCCAACTTATAGGTAATATGTACTTTAAACTTCACTAGGTATTGATAAACTGCTCTCTGAAGTGGTTTTACTAATTGACACTTCCTCGCCCACTCCTGGTATTAACAGAATTTATACTTTTTTATTTGATAGGTGTGAATAATCTCACTTAATATGCATTGTTTTTATTACTAATTAGATTGAACATTTGATCATTTGCCTTCAAAAATGACAAATCTGGACACATAGATCAATGGAAAAGAACAGAAAGCTTAGAAATAAGCCCACAATTATATGGTCAATTAATCTATGACAAAGGAGGCAAGAATATGCAATGGGAAAAAGAGTCTCTTTTTATAAATGGTGCTGGGAAAACTGGTCAGCTACATGCAGAAGAATGAAACTGGACCACTTTCCTACACCATACACAAAAATAAACTCAAAATGGATTAAGGACCTAAATGTGAGACCTGAAACCATAAAATTCCTAGAAGAGAGCACAGGCAGTAACTTCTCTGGCGTCGGCCCTAGCAACATTTTTCTAGATAGGTCTCCTGAAGCCAGGGAAACAAAGGCAAAACTAAACTATTGGGACTACATCAAACTAAAAAGCTTCTGCACAGCAAAGGTAACAATCAACAAAACTAATAAAAGGCAACCTATGGAATGGGAGAAGATATTTGTAAATGACATATTTGATAAAGGGTTAATATCCAAAACATATAAAGAACTACAACTCAACACCCAAAAAACAAATAATCCAATTAAAAATGGGCAGAAGACATGAACATTTTTCCAAAGAAGACATCCAGATGGCCAAAAGACACATGAAAAGAAGCTCAACATCACTCATCATCAGGGAAATGCAAATCAAAGCCACAGTGAGATATCACCTCACACCGGTCTGAATGGCTAAAATCGAGAAGATAAGAAACAAGTGTTGGCAAGGATGTAGAGAAAAAGGAACCCTCATGCGCTGTTGGTAGGAATGCAAACTGGTGCAGCCACTGTGGAAAACACTATGGAGGTTCCTCAAAAAGTTAAAAAATAGAATCACCATATGATCCAGTAATCGCACTACTGGGTATTTACCGGAAGAATAAGAAAACACTAATTCAAAAAGATACATGCGCCCCTACGTGTATAGCAGCATCATTTACAATAGCCAAATTATGGAAACAGCCCCAGTGCCCATCGACAGATGAATGGGTAAAAAAGATGTGGTATATATACAATGGAGTATTACTAAAAGAATGAAATCCTGTCATTTGCAACAACATGGATGGAGCTAGAGTATAATGCTAAGTGAAATAAGGCAGAGAAAGACAATACAGTGATTTCATTCATCTGTGGAATTTAAGAAAACAAGGGGAAAAAAAGAGACAAACCGAAAAACAGACTCTTAACTAGACAACAAATGGATGGTTGCCAGAGGGGAGGTAGGTGGGGGAAGGGTGAAAGAGGTGAAGGGGATTAAGAGTACACTTATCTTGATGAGCACTGAGTAATGTAGAGAATTCTGGAATCACTATATTGTACACCTGAAACTAACACTGTATGTTAACCATACTGGAATTAAAATTTTAAAAAAGACAAATCTGATTTTTTTTATTTAATGGTGTAAGAAGGTCCTCAAATATTGATACAAATGTTTAGCTTTTATTTCCAAAATGAATGTCTACAATGTTACAAGTTTGTTCTACAGTATTTTTGTTAGAGTATCCAAAAAGAGCCACAATCCATAATGACAGTTTATAACACTGTCCTTAGAAGGAAGACTAATCATAGTTTATAACACCATCCTTGAAGTCTAAAAGGCCTCGGGAGGCCACGTCAGTTGCACCAGCGACCTTAGAGATCATTTAACTCAGTGGTTCCCAAGGACCCATTAATTTTCCATGATGAATTCAATGTTTTGGAACTTCTCCTACTAAAAGTTTACCAAACAGCTTTCCATTTATAACTGCTAATGTGATTAGCATGAGCTTCGCTGATAAAATTCTAAACTGAAGGGGGTAAAAAAAAAACAAACAAAAACAAAAACCAAACAGGTGCAGCCTGTTCTAAGTAATGATTTCCACTAACCAAGTGGAAGTTCTGAAAGCAGCTCCATCACTGACTTCATAGAACCAGTATAATGTAGGGACCCCACAAGGGAAACCACTGATGGGGCCCAATTCCCTCCCTTTCAGGATGAGGCAAAGGCAAGAAGAGGTAAAGTGACACATTCAAAAGCACACAGCTAGTCAAACCATGCGGGCCCCCCAGCTGGCCCTGCCACACTAGAATCTGCTGCTTACGCTGGGAAGCAGTGTGAGGACCGGAAGGTGCATGCAACAGAAACAAAAGGTAAAAGGGAAAGAGAAATTTTAAAAGATTTTTTTTTAGATTTTGAACTCAGGGGCGCCTGGGTGGCTCAGTGGGTTGAGCGTCTGCCTTCGGCTCAGGTCCTGATCCCGGGGTCCTGGGATCGAGTCCCGCATCGGGCTTCCCTGCTCGGCTGGGAGTCTGCTCCATCTCCCTCGCCCCTCCCCCCTGCTCCTGTTCTTTCTCTCTCTCTCTCTCTCCAATAAATAAAATCTTTAAAAAAAATAAAAATTGTGAACTCAGTGGACAGAAGTACAGCTTCGCATTTCATGACTGCTGCCGGCTGTGCCAGCTTTCCCGTCACTGCCACCTTGGCAGGACTTTAAAAACTCACGATTTTATTCTTTTTTTTTTTCCTTCCCCTTCCAGTTATGGGACATTTCCCCTACCCTAATAAAGCAAACTCATCCGGGTTTGGGTCTGCTCAAGTCACAAAGTGGGAGGCCCCAGTACGCTAGGATTCAAGCCCGGGGTCCCGTGAGCAGCTGCTAGTACCTCTGCCTTTACTCTTGCCTTGAGGAATGTTTTCCAGTAACTGTGTACTCTGAATGGCTCTTTTTCACCCGGGATGCTGCGTCACAAGCCACGATTTGGGGAACACTACGTTCAGTACGGAGAGTACTGAACGAACACACTGTCAAAAAAAAAAAAAGGAATCAAGGTTTCTGTTCTTGGGTAGCTCCAGAAGAGTAAGTATCTCGGCCGGAAGGTGCAAGCAGGCGCCAACATCATGCAGCCAACTGAGTAAGCGGAGAGGTGTTACGCTGCGTGCACCGTGCACCGTGGCTCTGGGTGAGACCCACTACAAAGGAAGGGAGGGGCTGCCTTCGCCGTCTTATGCAGCCTCTAACTGAACGCTGGGATGGCTATCTGCAGGACCTTATGCAGCTCGGATTTCAGGTAGTCCCTCTGCCGTACAGGCAACAAGGACTGGTGGCAAGGGAATCACATTTACCGAGCACCTGGGTGCCCAACTTTGGACCAGGCCCTGCGCCATCGCACACGCCCTGCCCAGGCAGACAGCCTGTGCCCTAGGGCACTTTGGTGGGAAGTGAAGCAGTCCCCTTCTTCATGTGCATCGTGCACACCCACCTTGAACTGGATCACTTTCCCCACGTTCTTGAACTCGGGAAGCACGTCATCATAGAAGTCCAGGAACTGCTGGTAGGTTTCCTCTTCACTGTACTCTAGGCTGGCATCCGGGTCATAGTCATCCCTTCTGCACTGCTCCATTCCAAACGTTGTGAACATGCTTTTAATAAGGAGTGTGGGGCTCGAGGTTGGGAAATTGTGTTTACGTGAACACCTGCATATGAAAGGAGAACTTAAATGCAGCACTCCAAGAGTTAGCAATTACACATCAAAAGCTCCCTTTAAACTTGGAGATAGAGACTCAAAGAACTTGCTTAATTGCAAGATAATAAACGCCAGCCAGGTGTCAAATTGTAACACTTAAACTACTCTAAGACTGACCGATATATTTATTTGCTCTCATTAAGATGTAAAGGTGGGGGGCGCCTGGGTGGCTCAGTCGTTAAGCGTCTGCCTTCGGCTCAGGTTGTGATCCCAGGGTCCTGGGATCGAGCCCCACATCGGGCTCCCTGCTCCACGGGAAGCCTGCTTCTCCCTCTGCTTCTCTCTCTCTCTCTCTCCCTGTCTCTCATGAATAAACACAATCTTTTGAAAAAAAAAAAAGATGTAAAGGTGGGAATTATTTCCACGTTCATATGCCATTCAGCAGCCTTTTGATGAACTTCACAAAGCCTTATATGTGTAAAAGCATAGGAAAAAAGAAGGTCCGCTGACATGGCAGATTGCAGTGACAGGCATGAGGATACCGTATGTGGGACTCAGGAGGAAGGTGAGAACAATACAATCCTGGGTCTATATGATCTTCAACTACCTCAGGGCTTAGAGAATAGGGTAATGTTAAGAGTTTCGAGCTAAGGGAATAGTTCAATTTCACATATGTATATATAGCATTTCGTACTTTTCATGGCATTTTTATATTTCTTCCTCTGATCCTCACACCCGTGAGGACAGTTGGGGCTAGTATTGTCCCCACTTTGTAAAGAGGGAAGCTGAGGCCTAGAGAAGGCGCATGGCTGGTAAGAGAGGGCCAAGAGATGGGAGTTAACCTCCAGTCTAGTGCCTGTTCACTATATATATGATACAGAGAATTCTCATATCATGAGGTGGCTAACCATTATGAAGAACAACTTTCTTTTCATAGTTTAAGCTGAACCAGGTTGTACCTGAGTCATTTAAGTCTTTTATATGAGTTTATTTACTTCCCTCTCCGAAAATGAGGGGGAAAAAAATGCAGTTCAAGGTTCCAAACAGTCAGATTTTCCTGATTAGGTTTCCAGTTAAAAAAGACAAAATTTTTAGGAAAAAAACAATCCCCAGAACTAAGGAAGAAAAAAAGCTGAAGAACAAGGCAAGTGCTAGAAAAATCAATCGCCTCGAAATGACTAAATGTTTTCCTCCTCCTCACTTTCCATGTCTATGATATACATCTGTGCACCACGTGAGACACCGCAGGGTGCCCCCCGTACACCGCACCCAGCTCAGAGATGTGCAGTGTCCAGTCATGGGGAATGTTCTGTGCTCCAAAGGACCCTCCAAGATGATTCAGTAGAGACCTCGTGATGAGATCCGTCTTCCCAAGTATAGCTACCAACAGCACAAAGAGTGAAAGTTCAAGCTGACTGCAAATGTCAGCGGTGAATCAGAATTTTACACCGAGGAAGCACATACAGATTTTAAACAAGGAACCAATTTAACAGGGTTAAAATTCTGCTCATGGGATTATTACATCTGAATGAACCTGGCTCTAGTTCCTAGGGTGTCAAACGAGCATCTGAGTTGAGTCCCTGTTTAGGGAAAATCCCCACTTGGCCTGGAGACAGTCCATACAATCTGTGTATATTCAGAGCTAGCCCTACAGCTCCTACTGAGAAGTCAGCTAAAACAAGAGATATTTGGGAAGGCAATCTACAGGTGTGATACCAAACCTGTGTGATTCCCAGAATCACCTGGAAAGAACTGAGATTTCTCAGGTTCTGTTCCAGACCATCTGTTAAGACCTCAGGGTGGGGAACCATATTTTCAGAATAACTCCCCACTTGATCCTGAAGGTCAACCATGTTTGGGAACCCCTGGGTTTAGGCCATGCTATTTACTTATGATGCAGATATCTGAATCAAGTAAGACTGCCCTGAAATCACATAGTAAGACGTTACCCTAGCCCAAGGTCAGCCAATGAACCATGTGGTCTCCAGATGCCCCCTCAGGTAGAGCTAACGGACTACACCTCTTTTTCTCTTCTTGAGGGAGCACTCGAGGTACCCACTACCCTTGTCCTTCACAGATTTCAAGTTACATGCTGAAATTGGGCTGCAATAATTTATTGAGGGTCTCTGTAAGAAACATTTTCGGGAAAATTACATAAGCAGCTGTTCATAAAATATCTATCAAAGTTATCGTCCACCTCCTTCCCCAGTGTCTTTACGCAGTATTCCACGGGAGAAACATTTAGAATCTGATGCCTGGAAAATCTGTCTTTCCAGAGATACCACGCATTCTTCCTTTTTGGTAAGAACTAAATCTCTGCCTGGGCTGTGTTAAAATCCAGAGCCAAGTGTACTGCACACTCACAATAACTCCCTCTCTCCTCCTTTTCTGGCTTTCCATTTCTTTCATTACACTTGGGGCAGTACATTATGAGCCCTCTTTCAATCACTTCTGGAAACCAGGGAGTTATGAATAACTACTCTAATAAGTTTTACCTTTCATCAGTGATAATGTTTTCAGGAGGGGAAAAAAAAATGAACAACACAGAACTCCCTTCAAAGCTGTGACTCCAAGCAGTATCAACTCCAGAAAGGTTCTAGAATTGAACTGTGGACTAATTACAAAATCAGAACCACCAAAGAAATGCTGGGGTGATGGAAGTGTCTGTCTGAAGTGACAAGTCTTAACAGGAAAAGAACAGCTGTGTGATTCTGGAGCAAGTCACTGTGGTGGTTCTCTGGAAAAGGGGAACGGCTTCATTGTCTCAAGGGATGGTACGTGGATTTTGTAAATGCTCATTTCATAGAATTTTATTTCACAATTCATCACTTGAATGATGAAAATACCCAAATTGCTCTCATATTTTGATTGCTGTGATGGTGAAATTTCATATGCCTATGAAAATACGAAGAAATGTTCACAAACTAATCTACTCACTGTCACTATTTCCTTGGAATGACTCTCAGGGGTGGGTGGGAGAGCCTGGCGGCCCACTCTCCTTTCCACACACAAGCACTGTCCATTTAGGACTTTTCCCCATCTCTCACTTGTGCCCATCAAAAGGAGAATTTAGAATCAGATGACCACAGTCTTAGAATTCAAGGAAATGTTAGAGATACATCATAAATGAGGAATTCTGCAGCCAGAAAACCTTAAATGTCATTTGGTTTGGCTACCCGCACAAATGTGAATTTACATCGAGTCTCAATTGTGTTTCAAAAGTACCTCCTGTGTTTTCTTTGGTGGGGGGTGTTTAACATCAATTATTACTATTTTTTGATGAAACTAAGCATACGTTCAGGAGACTTTTCTAAAGGTAAAAGGGAATAAAGTCTCTTCTCCTTTCCTTAGTTGCTAGTTTGCTACTGACCACATCCTACGAATCCTTTCACAGGCTTCATACAACCCCAGCTATAAACTATAAAAGGAGCTACACATCCTACATGAGTGGCTCTCAGACCTAGGGCACATGAGAAACACCTGAGGACATTTCAAAAGTAAGGCTGCCCAAGTCTGAGATTTACTCAACTGGAGGTAGGACATAAATTTTTCAAAGCTTTCTAGAGGATTCTAATGTGTACCTGGGTTGAGAGCCACTGCTCTTAAATAACATAAAAAAGCATGAGGGCTTGACTTAAAAAAGAAAAACAAGAGGAAGAGAGAGAAAGTTTGTATTTTCAAAGAAGGACATGAAACTCATGGCTTGGATAATTTTATGAATAAAATAACATGACTGACAACATATAGTTTTCTCATTAAATACATATGAATTTTCCTATTCATAGCCCTTTCGGGATTAATAGGACCCTAAGAAATGATTAGATCTCTTCTGCAGGATGCTTAGTAATCATTAGATTTCGTCTTGGATAGATTCATTCACCATTATGAATTATTTTTCTCCTCTGAGTTGTTCATTCATAAATAAGCCAAATGATAAACATCACCAATGCCTGGCATATTATCAAGTATTTAAATATTTGCTAAATGAATGAAGACATCGACACTTAGTTCTCTACATGAATGCCTTGTTTCAAAAACACTGAGCCATGGGACGCCTGGGTGGCTCAGTTGGTTAAGCGTCTGCCTTCAGCTCAGGTCCCGCATTGGGCTCCCTGTTCAGCGGGGAGTCTGCTTCTCCCTCTGCCTGCTTCTCCCCCTGCTTGTGTGTGCTCTCTCTCTCTTTCTCTCTCTCTGGCAAATAAATAAATTCTTTAAAAAAAAGAAAAGAAAAAAACAACACAGAGCCAAAAGAGGCGGGCAACGGAGTGTCTCAGAGAATAAGGGCAACCATAACGAAATGAAAATAGCAGCGACCACTGAGGACAGTCTCTGCCATATGCCCACCACAGTGTCTGGGCTTGCCCTTCATCCACTCCTTGCAGCCTCACCACCTCCTTCGAAGGGGAGAGACTACTTTTCATCCCCATTTTACAGATGAGGAAACGAAGGCACAGAAGGCTTAAGTAACTTGCCCAAAGGGACAACCACTCAAGTCCACTTCTGCACCCCGGCTCTGTTCCTGAGTCAGAGCAGACTGAGAACGGGGCATTAGAATACTTTTCCTCACTCACTCGGGTCCCACCTTTCACAGATAGCCCTTTGGGCATGCCAATTTTTCAAAGCCTCTTTTGCGCACAGTGTTGGCCACTCAGAAGTAAGTAAATAAATAAATAAAGCCAAGCTGCTCCTCCTGTCTCTTGAAATACGTTCTTTCCCCATCCAAGCTGTTCCACGTGGACTCATGCAAGCACAGGAAGAAAACAAAAAGCACAAGGTCTCGGGGAAGCTGTGGAAGGGATGCAAAGGAAGCCCTAGGAGAGAAGTCGGCCGAGCCCGCCAGGGGGAACAGAGCAGTAATGCAACCAGAGAAGCAGCAAGGAAGCAGCCAACGCCTGACTGGGGACCTTTTAAACTCAAGCCCGTGGTGCTCCCAAAGAGAGAACTAAACAACCTCGACATTCTGATGCACTGAATTCTGACATGATAAAGCAAAATTAGTTACCTATCTCCAAATCTGCACGCTCCTGTTTTACTGTAGAATGGACAATTAGCTCGATCTTTCTCCATTATCCTTAAGTCCACGGGTGGCTCTGGGTTTTGCCATGTGGCACCATTTTCCAACTGTTGAAAATAACCATGACTTTATTGGTGGTGTAAAAATCCATGACGAACTCGATGTTTAAAATGTATTCAAATTATTTTGGTCAAAAAAAAAAATAGATTTAAGAATATACACATTTAGGTCATAACAGGCAATTGAGACCTCACAAACAACCGTCCAGAGACATGCACTGTGTCTTTCTTGGCTCCCAGTCATTGCCCAGGACCGGGCACCGCCGTGGCTACAGGAAGCAGTCACTGAGGTCTCCCTGCTGCCCATCCATTCTGAATGGGGTCAAAGGACTTGTCAGGGAACCACCCGTGAGAGAGACCCAAGTTGCTCTGTAGCAAGTTCAACCGTTTATTTTGGGACAACAGCGCGTGGTGTTGCTCGCACACACTTTAAGGACTATAAGTAAGTACAGTCCACGGGGTGGGGGGGGGAGGCCACAGGGGACACAACTTGATACCATTTGCTTTTGTTCATCAAAAACCTTTTGCTGCTGTTGCTGCTGTAAAAATCACAGAGCTGCAGAAGTGATTCTGATATTCAGACGTGACCTACATAGCTTACCACAAAATTAACATTCTACTAGACGAACGGTTTTTAAAGAAATGTTCACTGGTCTCAAATTCTGAATGAAAGGTTTGAAAATACCTCATTTTCAGCCTGCTCCAGCATCTTCTGCACAGCTTCCTACAAATGGTGCAAACATAGGACTAATGAAAACCTGCAAGTCAGGAAAGTCACGTCTGGTTTCTCTGGTTAAGAAGCTCATGTGTATTTAAAAAAAAAAAACAAAAAACAAAACACCACACACGCCAAAGGCTTCAAGTTCTAATTTGCTTTCTACAGCACAGATCTTCTGAAAAGCTTTCAAAGGACATATAGCTGAGAATGTTTATTCAAATAGGACATTTATTAGCTCCCATTGCAAAACACAGTCTTATAATAGTTTCAGTAACAGTAATATTTAGCATATTTGATCATATATACCACATTCTAGCTTTCAAGATGAGTGATAATAGTATCAGTGAATTATTATATAATGCAATGCTTAGATCAAACATCATCAACACTTAACAGATGTTAAATTATGACATGAACAGTAGTAATTCGGGTTGATGAAAAAAATCTCAAACTTTTCGGTAAGGCAAAGGAGTCTTGCAATATACTAGTAAATTCTGAGCTCACTGTCATTTAAAAGTTTTAAATTATTCTTCACAGACTTCTTTTCCCTAGCCCCTTAAAGCATTACATAAAAGACTCCTCTGTCTAGCTACTTGAGAATGCGACCCGGTCACGTGGGGGTCCTGGCTAACTCCATGTGCTCACAGTGCAGCTCTGGTTCTTCTTCACCCCCATCCACCTGAACGCCCCGCATCTCAGTAACCGATGCTGCCATTCATTTGCCCACTTGTTCGGACTAACAACCTAAGAAGCAGAACTGGAATTCCTCTCCTTTTCCTTGCCCTCCCTGCCCATTCAGTCTCCAAGCCAGGGCCCCACCGCCTCTCCCGCCACACACCCCAGCTCTGTGTACTTATCCTTACTAAGGACTCCCCTCATCCAAACTGCCATCATGTCCTACCCGGAACAGGGGCCTTCTAACTGCTCATTCTATTTTCACTACTCTCTCCTTGGTGACCACTCCCTGCTCTCCCCCCCTTCTTTATGCAAAAGTTAGAATGATCTAGTAAAGGTATAGATATAAATTAAATGAAGTCAAACCCTGCTTAAAAACCCCGCAATGGCTTCCCATGACACTTAACATAAAACCCAAACTCCTCCTTCCAGTCCACGAGGCCTTACATGATCTGACCCTGCCTACCTTCCTGACCCCCTCCCTCACCCCCACCGCTCTCTCCTTTGGTCTCCAAGATTCAGGCACCCTGACATCTTTTCAGCTCCATGCTCAGGCCTCTTCCCTCTGCCTGGACCCCTTCTCCCCAAGATCTTTGCACTCAGGTATCAGCTCAAACATTGGCTCCTTGGACAAGTCTTCCTTGACCAGGCAATCTAAAGAAGTACATCCCTACCCCAATCACTATCACATGACTCCAACTATTTCTTTACAGCACTTAACATTATCTCATAGCACTTAAAATTATCTTTTTTGCTTACTTATCATCTGGCTCCCCCATCTAAAAAACTCAAGGAGAGCAGGTACTGTGTTTTTCACTGCTCTTATCCCTCTGCTAGAAAAGTATCTAGCACACAGCAGAAACACGGATTGCATATCCCTTTATACATGCTTACAACCTACCTCATTTTACCTGCCTCTCCATAATGTCTCACCTGACTTCCTTGGAAACAAAAGCCTTAGCTTTTTTAAAAGAAGCCTTTGCTTTTATCTGATGCCAGAAAGACCTCAATTGAGAACATTCTACTGTTAAAATGAGAATCGATTACTCTATAAAAACAATGACAAGCTCCCAACAACTTCCCTGCCCCCTAAAAAGCTAGCATGGTCTCGCCTCATCTGTAACGCAGTGCTCAAATGAAGGTGTTAAAAATCTGCACTGGAGGGGTGCCTGGGTGGCTCAGTCAGTTGAGCGTCCAGCTCTCCGTTTCGGCTCAGGTCATGATCTCATGGGTCATGGGATGGAGCCCTGCGTCAGGCTCCACGCTCAGCAGGCAGTCTGCTTGAGGATTCTCTCCCTCTACCCCTTCCTCTGCTCGCGTACTCTCTCTCACATGTGCTCTTTCTCTCTCTAAAATGAATAAATAAATCTTAAAAAAAAATTTGCATTGGAATTAACTGATGACCTGATGCACAAAAAACAAAGTTTGTGGAGGCTGCTTTTACCCTATCATGACTAGGATATAAACAAATGCATTTTTCTCCATGAAAACTACCCACTTTTATGCTATTCAAACTTGGGAATATGATAGGAAAATATACATCCTGAGGAATCAGTTAAGGAATGATGAGCTGTGGGATCTTGGAAATAAATACACTATGTTAAGGAAGAGCAGTAAAATATACCAAAGCAATCTTTAAAAGATCCTGAAAGATACATACATACATCTTATAGATTCTTTTTTCTAATGAGCAACTATGTGTGAGCTACAATGGCCTTTATAGCCAAGTTGGAAAGGAAGTCAAGATTTAGCAACAAAAAATATCTCCTAATTCCTCAATATTGGAGTTCCTGATTTTTTTTTCGGTCAATTCATTCTTGCTGACATGTTATAAACAGTTAAATGTCTTATTAACTCAGTAAATGTGGACACAACACAAAATACTCTCTAAATGGGTTAACCCATACACAACAGAACCTCAGAAAAACACTTTGGTGTGAATGTAAAGAGCTAGAGCAAAAATACATTCGCTCTGGGGTGGGACAAAGTGGCAAGCAGGGGCCAACTGCCTGTTTTTCAAAATAAAACAGAGTTTTATTGGAACACAGCCACAACCATTTATTTACATATTATCTATGGCTACTTTCATGCTGCACCAACAGAGTTGGATGCTTGCAACAGAGACCATACACACCATAAAGCCCCAAATTTTTACTCTCTGGCCTTTACAGGGAAAGTCTGCCAATGCCTAGTATAAACAGGCAGATGGGTAGTTGAAGGAAAAACTTAAGGTATCTACCACTGCACAGACCCAAAGAGATAAGGGAACTCTAACGTGTATCTGTACTAAAAACAGGACTCCTTCCTAGACAGGAAAACAAAGCCCAAACCCTGATATGCCTACAGCTCATTCTTCAGCCCCAGCCCACACCGTGTCTGTGCACCAAGAGGATACGCAGTGCGTTTATCCTCCTGTGACAGGAATCACCTCTCTCTCTCTCTTCTCCTGTAGTTTCTGTTCCTCCTCTTCTCTCTCCTTTCTCTGCTGCTCTTCCCATTCTTCCTTTAATTTTCTCTTTACCGGAAAAAAGAAAGAGAAGAAACGGTAATTCTTGTCACTCACTTTTTTGAAAACATTTAACATACGGGGCAGATAAATGAAAAACGTTACCACTGGTAAAATGGGTACTACCCACTTTTGTAAGTGCAAGATCTGTAAGTCTTACTGAGAGTTATTTTGGTTAACTAAGTAGTTAGCTGGCCATCTGATTAATACCGTACCTCTTGTTCTTCCTGCCGTTTTCTAGCTGCCTCTTCCTTTTCCCTCTTTCTTCTGAATTCTTCTTGTGCCTTCTGCTCCCGAAGTAACCATGCCTCATGTAATTTTTGCCTACAATGTAATGATGTAATCAAATAAAAGAAATGAGCACTAGTTTACAATTACATACAATGATAGCAAAATGACACACTTGGGAATGATTAAGCTATCACGAGAGGTATTTTCTAGAAAGCAGTTAAGTGGAGGGCGAGAGGAACAGAAGATATGAGTAGTGATCTTGGAAAAGCACTCTGTCTCAGTAGCTCTCTTCCTAGAGGGTAACAGCTGAAAATCCCTACTTCTACATTTCCTATATGTGACATCTTTTACATAGAACAAGGACACTACAACTTTCCCTTTAGGTTGACCATCGGAATGTTTAGGTGTCAATAAAGATGCCAGCAAGTCTCAAGGCACCATCTAGCTTTTACGTTAAGAAGGTCCTACCCTTCCTCTTCTAAGCATTTTACAAGCGGCACCTGCGAGACCGCAGCACGATGGAAACCTGGCATCTGCCACCCTCTATCTTTGCCCTGCTCCTCTAGACAGTTAAGAGTCTGCCATGGCTTGCCCCTAGCACGTAAACTGCTCAAAAAAAGGAAATAAAACTCTATCTGAGCATGTTTTAAAATAAAGGAAGCTACGGGTTTTAAGATGACAAGGAGTTATACAAGCAAATTAGCAGGTGTCTAGTTTATTTTTAAAAAATGACCAATTACAAAGAGTGATGTTACCTTAAAATGGCAAGCATCTCAGACATCAATACCACAAGTTTCTAACTGAAAGATGGGTTACATTTCTTTTTTTTTTTTTTTAAGATTTTATTGATTTATTTGAGAGAGAGCGCACAAGGAGGGGGAGCAGCATGCAGAGGGAGAGGGAGAAGCAGGCTCCCTGCCAGGCTCGATCCCAGGACCCTGAGATCATGACCTGAGCTGAAGGCAGCTGCTTAACCGACTGAGCCACCCAGGCGCCCCGTGATGGGTTACATTTCAGAAGTTCAAAAGCCAATCAGGTGTTTAGACCCTAGATTGCATTTTCCCACTGAATTTGTAAAAGGGAAGTAAAATATGAGAAACAGTTCTGTATTACTTCAGTTCTGTATTACTTCATTAGGTGTTACATAAGGTTTTAGGTATAGCCTGGGGAACCTATTCACAATTTCAAATACCCTATGGGAAAAGAGATTTCATTTCCAACTCCAGATTTCCGGAGCATATCTTTTTGCCATGGTGGAGGCAGGCACATCACATCGGTCAATGGTCCTGTGCATGTTGTGGGTTATGTATAGATGTTTCAGTGTGTGGAATTCTGACTTAGAAGTCTTTTGAGGAACATATTAATTGTATATAAACCAAACCAAAGCGCATATAAATCTAAGAGCTCAAAAGAGTCAAGGTTAGAGAGTTGAAATGTTGATAACTTGCATACACCGCTGAGAAGCAGAACTGAAGAATTCCCCAGCAATGGGAGGACTTGAGGAGCATCTAGCCCGGCTTCCAGCAGTGTCAGGCTGTGCCCTGGGGTTGACCCCAATCCTCCACCCACCCCCCGCCCCGTTAAAATGCCTGCCTGACAAAGCTCAAAGCTGCTGGGAAAACAGACTCTCCACTCTAGCCAAAGCAGGACCATTGGCCCCTGCCCTCGCCTTCTTAGAGCATTCACTAAAAACGGCTTATAACTGTGACTCGGTCTCTCTCAAGGACCTGAGAGCCCTTTCTTGGAAATGTAATCTTTAAGTAGGAGAAGGCCCCTGTGTCCCAGCCCCTGTGAACGGCTAGAATCCTAACTTCCCTAACTGCCTGCTAACAAATGCAGCTGGCCTAGTCCCATTTACCCGGCCCCAACCCTCCATCCTTCCTCCCCTCTCTAGTTCCCCCGCACCCCTCCCGCACTCTCCCTTGTAAAGGCGCTGATCGCCCCTACACAAATCCTAATGGAGCTCTTTCCCCTACAGTCAGGAGTAACACAATCCAACCTGTTCTCACCACTTTAACGTCTGCCTGTGTTATTCTCTGAGGCTATACATCTGCTTTAAGGCAGTACATAAAGCCATACAGTATTTCCACAGAATTCATTCTCTTGCTTTTCAACAACAAACTATCATGCGACTGGTACAGGAACAAAGATCAAAGGAACACAAAGATCTGGTTACCTGATTTAAAAGAAGCACCTCAAATTAAATGGGAAAACAACAACAACAAAAATGACCCCTGTTTCAACCATATACATCATCTTCATCATAACAAAAATCTCTAACAACCAGAGTTATTACAGCATCTCCTATCTACTAACACTAGGTTAAGTGCATATACTTGCCACCTCATTTCATCTCCCCAATTCCATGAGGTAGGTACTAGGATTGATTTTTTTTCCATTTTTATCTCCATATTTAAGACAAGGAAATTGAAGCTTAGAGAGAGAAGCAACTTGAACACAGCTATGAAGTGGCAGGGCCAGGACTAGAAGGCAGTTCTGGCTCAATCGACTCCACGTTCTCAATCACTACTATATTTTCTTTTGGCATTTTGCTGATTGCACCTATTTATGTGCTTAGGTGGAGAACAGGAGTGAATTACATGCAAAGCAGCAACATTCCCTACTAAACATGCCACTAAATAGCTAGAGAGTGTCTATAAAGTTTTCTTACTCCTTTTAAAAATATGTTTTTAGGGCGCCTGGGTGGCTCAGTTGGTTAAGCGACTGCCTTCGGCTCAGGTCATGATCCTGGAGTCCCGGGATCGAGTCCCGCATCGGGCTCTCTGCTCAGCAGGGAGTCTGCTTCTCCCTCTGACCCTCTTCCCTCTCGTGCTCTCTATCTCTCATTCTCTCTCTCTCAAATAAATAAATAAAATCTTTAAAAAAAATTTTTTTTTATTGTGGCAAAATATACATACCATAAAATTTAGGATTTTAACCATTTTTAAGTGTACGGTTGAGTAGCATTAAGCACATTAACATTATTGTGCATGGTTTGGGAAAAAAAACTACCCCCTGAAAAATACTGAAATAGAAGATTTTCATCATCTTGGGATGGAGGAGGCCTTTTACAGTCCAGACACCACAGTCAGATATCATGATGAAAGTTGATAATGTGAAAATCAAATTATGGTAAGTAATGCCATAAGCCAAGTTAGGACTGCTGACAAATGAGAAAAACATACATCACACATATGACAGATAAAGGACGAATATCCTTAATCAGTTTACACAACTTAAAAAAATGTATCCCAAAAGAGAAAGGTGCAATACTTAAGCAATCTAAAATAGGTAATAAAATATATTAAAAAAATACACAAACTTACTAATTAAGAAATGTACATTTGAAACAATGAAATGCAACTTTTCACTACAGGAGTTTTAAAACTTGATGCCTGGTGTGAGTGAAGAAAGTATGGGGATAAGGGAACCTTGATTCACTTCTGGAAGGGCTGCAAACTGGGGTGCCCTTTCTACCCAACCATCGACATTTTACATGTACTTATCCTTTGATCCCAACAATTTCATTTCTAGGCATCTTCCTGAGGAAATAATAGGACAATTACCAAGGATATATAAGCATGGATACTCATAGCAACTTTTCATAGAATTATAAAATTGTAAAATATATCTGAGTATAAATTAATTGTATTTTTGTATATACAATATATAATTTGTAAAAATTGTAAAAATATCTGAGTATAATTAATAGTAAATAATAGGAAGTAGGAAATTCATGGTAAATACTAAGTGAATGTTATTTAATAATAAATAACCAAAATCTCCATCAGTAGAGAACTACAGATTATGAATCAAGAATAAATTATGCTACATCCATACAATGGACACTATGTCCCAACTGTAATGGTTGAATTGGGTATCTGAATCAACACTGAAATACAGGTTCTATATATTAAGCAAAAAAAGCAATTAAAATGCATAAATAACTTCCCATTATAGACATATACACATACAGTAAATCTACACTCTTGAATTTTTAACAGCGGCTATCTTTGGTTGTGCTGAAGTCATTGAAGCCCTTTCACTCTTTATACTTCAATTTCTTTTTCAAAAACATTTTCGAATTAGCAAAAAAAGTGAAAAATACTCCCATTTAAGAAAAATGAGAACATCTAATTTTAGTCTGTCAGGTGGAGATTTAAATATTTTATCCAGGGTTATTTTATAAGACCTGTTTTGTACAAGGTGTTATAAAGAAGACCTGTACTAGTTCATAAAGACTTACAATATTTTTCTTTTTATTATTTTTTTTTCTTAAGTGGCGTGGAGCCCAACACGGGGCTTGAACTCACGACCCTGAGATCAACACCTGAGCTGAGATCAAGAGTCAGATGCCCAATGAACTGAGCCACCCAGGTGCCCCAAGACTTATAATATTCAAATAAAACAACTGGATTCATGAGGAAGTTCTCCGATCACTGCTGACCTCTCTATCTCCAACAGCTTCTCTTCTTCTAGGTGTTGTTCTTCAATAAAAGCATCCTCCTCCTCCTTCTGTGAGAGTCCTAAGGAAATTTAAAATGTTTTATTAAACGATCCAAATATTGTAAAACCTTGGTCAATGATTCAGGGGGAAAAAAAGATAAAAATCTAATCTTTACAAATATGGTACAAGTCTGTTTTTAAAGCCTTCTAATAAGGGCTCCAACCAATCAAATTTGAAACACTTTGAAACCCCAAAAGAACAATAATGGTAGATAACACATTCAATTCAAAAAACTAATTGATGGGGGTGCCTGGGTGGCTCAGTCGTTAAGCGTCTGCCTTCGGCTCAGGTCATGATCCCAGGGTCCTGGGATCAAGCCCCACATCAGGCTCCCTGCTCAGCGGGGAGTCCGCTTCTCCCTCTCCCACTCCCCCTGCTTGTGTTCCCTCTCTCGCTGTGTCTCTGTCAAATAAATAAAGTCTTTAAAAAAGAAAAAGAAAAAATAAACTAATTGATGGTTCCACAGTGATACTCAAAAAAGTGGTGGAGTATGAAAAGGAACACTCATCTTCACAGAAGAATGGCAACTAAAAAATGTAGAAAGACTTAAGTAGAAAGGTCATTTTTGCAACCCCAACTCTAAGAACTGATTTTTCAAAAAATGCTAAAAACATCGGATGAGAGCTTGTTGGGAAGAAAATATTTACTTACACCATCTCAGAACATCAGCTCACAGAGTACTACTTACAAAGGGGAGACATCCTTTACAATGGAGCCATCTGATTGACAACACTCTGACCACTTGCAGCCATACTAGGAGTGGAATGACCTGACATTACAGGCCTCCTGATGTGTGCAATGAGAAGTACACAGCACCGGCTTTGTAGTATTTGCCATAAGGAGTGTAACCTGAAGCTAATCAGGTGAAGACAGGCTAATCCAGAATGTAGGGCATTCCACAAGACAACTGGTTTGAACAGGTCACAATCATCACTCTTGGATTGGGAAAGTTCAAGTATGGCCTGCATATCGCACCACTGAATTACTGTTCCTTACTTGGCTGCAAGTCTGATATTATGCTCCTTATTCTAAGGAGACACAGGCTGAAGTATTTAGAGGTGAGAGATCATGATATCTGCAACTGACATGCAATGAATTCAGAAAAAAATATGTACATATGTATCCATCTATATAGGGAGTAAGGCAAAATGTTAACACTGGCAAATCTGGATGATGTGTTCATGGATATTTATTGTACCATTTTTTCAACTTTCTGTACACTGGAACATTTTCAAAATAAGAACATGGGAAAATATCTTTAATATAACTTATTATATAATAATAATACATATATATATAATATAACTTCCCATTCAGAATTTAAATTTGGGGGAAAAAAGGAGGAAAACTGAAGTGATCCTAAGGAAATATAACAGAAGATCTCAGGCTTAAAGGAAAAAGATTTTCTATCTGTCACATATGTTGAGTATAGGTCTAATCAAAGGCACACCCAGTCCTAGATAATTACAATTTACTTTTCTTAAGTAAATTTCATTTTTCAGCACCTGAAATTAAAATCGGTTAAAAAAAAAATTTAGGATAAGTTCTCACAGAGAATAAAATTTGATTATTCAGATTATTAAATGAGCTAATGTACATAAAGGGCCTTCCAGAGAACCTGGCACAGGAGTTATGACTGACTGACCCATAGACTAGACACTGCCTGGCACAGCTGATATTCAAAACTATCTGTTGCCTGGAGCGCCTGGGTGGCTCAGTCGTTAAATGTCTGCCTTTGGCTTAGGTCATGATCCCAGGGTCCTGGGAGAGCCCTCCATCGGGCTCCCTGCTCAGGGCGAAGCCTGCGTCTCCCTCCCCCACACCCCCTGCTTGTGTTCCTGCTCTTGCTATCTGTCAAATAAATAAATATCTTAAAATATATATATATCTGTTGCCTGACTCACTCACCCCTTCATTCTCCCAAAAACAAGCTCACACTCCTCAGAAGTGATCATTAACAGTACTGGGTGTAGCATTTGCTTAATACGTACAATCAAACATATGCAAGGATACATATTAAGTATAGTATACCTAACTGTATCATACATATAACCGTATAAATTGGAATCACGCAACTTGCTTTTTATTCTTAATGTCACTTTAATTTCTGACAAGGCAGCTCATTTCAGGCTATTTTGGGTAGAACTGCTGAAGAGGCTACCTGTAAATGAGAGGTCAATAATCCAGAAATTTCTACCACTCATTTTCCAATTCACTCTTAACAGCAGTTCTTATAGACTATCTCCCTATTCTAGCCTTCTGGGTATTGTTTGCCCATCCAATGTGTGCTACAATGAACAGCAGTGTTTGGTATGCCACACTATTCATGAAGCACCACTAAGAATTAGGAGTTGGAACGGGCCAAAGTAGGAGTAGTCCAGAGACAAATGCTTAGACTTGGATCTGCCATTAGCTATATAATCCTGACCAAACCTGTGACTGCATCCTTCAACTGACTAAACTGCGGAAGAACATGATCCACCCGGCTCTCCACAAAGGCTCACTCTGAAAGCACTTTGCAAAGTCAAGTTGGGGGGCGGGGAATCCAATGCAATAAAAACAACAGCTCTAGGATTTAAAAGAGGGGGGAAAAAAAGATTAAGAAGTTAAAAAAAAGTTATATTGGAAGAAAACAGGTTAAGTAAACAAAGGTAGCTGAGATCGCTAAGGTGGGGGCGGCGGGGGGGGGGGAGACAGACACCAAGGGCATCAATAACTCCAATCTACCCTGTTTTTTCCTTTTATCCCTGATGCTTTGTCCTGCCTTTAGTGGTCCAGTTTTAAATAAAAGAGAGATGCTAACACAGGCCACGGGTAAACATCCTGCTCCTTCCATTCTAAATACTCCAAGTATTGCTACTAAAAATAAGTACTGGGCAACTCCAAGGGTAAATAAAATGTCTACAGTTATGTTTCACAAGGCTGAAGAATACTGGTTACTTGAAGCCCTTGCCTGTGGACTGCAAGAATTGTTTAGATACATTTTTGCAATGTATACAAATATCAAATCATTACAATGTATACCTAAAACTAATGTGTCAACTATACATCAAAGAAAAAAAAAACGTCTGGGGCGCCTGGGTGGCTCAGATGGTTAAGCGTCTGCCTTCGGCTCAGGTCATGATCCCAGGGTCCTGGGATCGAGTCCCGCATCGGGATCCCTGCTCAGTGGGAGCCTGCTTCTCCCTCTGCTTCTCTCTCTCTCTCTGTTTCTCATGAATAAATAAATAAAATCTTTAAAGAAAAAAACGTCTGAAGATTTGCCTTGATAATCTGGATGGCAAACATTATAATGCAGTACTGCTGTGTGATTTCAGTGCCTCCATCTGCATTTATAACTAATACATAATTTTGTAAGTTAGTACTAATTTCATTGTATTAAACAGGTGGGTTTAATATATATTTGTTAGATTCTGCCACGTGAAGGACAAATGACACCATAGCCAGTACAAATGAAGGTGCCACAGTATTTTAACAGGAAAAAACAACAACTGGTAAATAACTACAGGGCAACAATAGTGGCACTCCCAACTCCAAACAGTACCATGTTCATGCTGAAAGCTTGTTTCACATCATCCCTAACATTACATTAACACAGATTTGAATTTTAGTGGATGTGTAATTTCACTTGGTTTCATGATCTTGTACATATATTGTTTTATAGTCAAATAAGAGTTTCATATCTGGTTTTATGCTTATATATATACTTCAATGGCATTAATAATAATTTGAGTCAACAAAGGGTCTTTTGTGTTACTCAAGTTTGAGGAAAAAGTTGCAAAATGTCTAAACCCCTCAAGTCCTGCTGGTTTTTCAAAGGAAAACACTCGCTGAATATTTACTATGTGCAAGAGCTGTGCTAGCTGCTGTAATTCATGATGCCTGCACCTGTAATATCAGATACTTCATAAATACTTACACATAATCAGTGGTTGATTCACCATGACCTTTTTCCTTTTTCCCCCTCTTTAGTACGTTAATATCGTTTCTGAAGTGGGTCTAACATAACTTTACTTGGGAGGCAGTAGCCGCTGTAATTTTTCAGCAGGTAAGTACTTGGCTTCCTTCTGGCACTGGGGCTTCAAGTTAGGACGGGAGCGGAGAGAGTAATTTCATACACAGAAAGCAGGCTGAGGAGTCGGTTACCTGAGTCCCTCAATCGAGCCAGTTCCTGCCGTCGTTTCTTTCGTTTCGCCTTCTTCAGGGCGGCCCTGTACTTTTTGTGGCTGGAAGATTGAAACGGGCACACACCAGCGTCAAGTGACCGCACCTGCGGCGCTGCCTGAATGCCACCCCCCACCCCGCACCCCGCCGCGCCCAGTGACAGGAAATCGCTCGGGTGCCCGGGAGTGCAATCTTGCTTCCCGGGTTTTAATTACGGAACACGCATTTACGATCGCCTCACCATTCCACGACCAGATGGCAGGTCTTTTCCATCCCGCCTCCTGTTCCCCTCCTCGCCTCCCTGAACCCACAGACGCCCGTGACAGTCCGGGGCGCACCCCCGGGAAGGACTCCGGTGGCCGCAGTGGCTCGCCTGCTTGGCCCAACTCCCCTTTCCTTCCTGCTTACACATCCTCCATGTCCAGCCTCGGGCAGCTCCGTCCCCTCTTCTCGTCGCCTCATCTCCCCGAGCCCAGCTTACCTCGGTTTCTCCGGAAACATCATCTTCTCAGGCGCCGCCATCTTGCCAGGGCCGCCACGCCCCCCCCCCGAAGAGGTGACCGGAAGAGGCGGGTTTAAGAGAAAGGGCGCGGCCGCGCGCAGGCGCAGGTGCCGCGGGGAAATGGGGCGGAGGGGAGGGCACCTCCTCTTGAGAGGAACAAAGACCGTAGACGGGAGGGTTCCGTGGGCGTCTAGTCTTCCAAAACTCTGCACAAACGTCTCCTTCCCGAAAATTCCTACCCCTCCCTGAAAGTAATTCTTCCCTCCTAGCGCTTCCCCATTGCCTTATCACTACCTGCCCCCACACCAGAGTGGTCTGTCCTGTGGTAAGTAAAGTCACACTTCTCTTTCTGTCTCTCTCTCTCGTCCTCATCCACTCACGAGACCTCATCCCACGCACACTCGCCTAGCTTCCCAGCCCTACTTGTCCAGGCTCCTCCTTATGCGGTTCCACCTATCAGCCCCTCAGACAAACTCCAGAGTCCGCCCCCTTCCATTCACACCTGCCACCTCTACAGGGAAACCAACACCTGGCCTGCGAGCGTGTAACCTCTGCTCGCAAGGAATGTGCAATCTAGACGCAGAAAAGGACCAATACATAGATAAAATAATATAGTACAGGCAACGTAGTTTACTTAAACAGTCCACCGGGGATTCAGGGAGAACTTTCTGATGCCTGAGTTTTGCAGGAAGGTAGCCTTTACCCAGGTGGAGAAGGGTGAGATTCCCAGGTGGGAATGGTAAATCGGCATAAGCAAAGGCACTGAGAAGTGAAACAATGTGGAATCGGCCAGACCCCCAAGAATTTTCGCAATCGAATTTAAAGGGAAGTTCCAGAGTATCAAGGAACACAGCGTAGAGATGGGCTGGGCCTGGGTTATGTAGATGGGCCTAGTAAACCATGCTCAGAGGCTCTAATTATGTTCTGTAGCCAACGGGAACCATCGAAAAGCTTTTAAGTTGAGGTTTGTTGTCATATTTGTGTTTTGGGTAAATTACTCTCGTTTGCAATATAAAGGACGAAGCTGGACTATCACAGTCTAGATGAGCAATTAAACTGGGCCAGTGAGAGTAGGATTGAGAAAGTAAAATCAGCCCTGCTAATAATCAGACTGTGATGTACATAAACAAGGGCAGAGACAAGACCAAGAACAAAAAATGCTTCTCTTGAGGACATGCTACGGCCGCAAAATGATTAACAATCCCCATCTTCCGAGGAAGATTGGATAACTTCCCTGGCCTAGCTTTGTTCCTCTCTCCTCCAAATCAAAATCACTGAGGTACCCAATTACTAAACTGCCCCTGCTTCTAGTCCATCCTTGGAATCACTCAGCAGACACCCAAAGTGCATAAAGCCTTGCCCTATTCCCTCTTGCAGAGACACTTAGAATCCTTGTCCAGCTCAGTGCATCAGTAATTAGCGTCATAAACTTTGGAGTTGGACAGACGGGGGAAACCCAAGCCTTGGCTCTCTGATCTTGAGTAAACTCCTTAATGTCTAGTCCTCAGTTTTCTCATCTGTAGAAATCAAGGTAGTGATAATAGTTCCCAAGTGCGTACTATCTGTTGGCATAGTGCCTGACAATAGTGTTTCTGACATGTCAGCTGCTGTATCATCACTGATGTGAAAACTCCCTTACCTCCTCAAGAGTGGGTTGGTACTTGTCCTGCATATGTTCCTAGCACAAGTATTTCACCTTTGTAACACCTATCACACTATATTATACTTTGTTGCCTTCACAAAGCTGCTTCTTGCAATAAATTTTAAATTCCTTGAAGGTGAAGTTAGTTACAGCCCCTGACTAGAGAATGCCCTGAGTGGCAAAAACCGTAGCTGTGCAAATCACCAATTCTGCTGGTTCCTGTGACCAGGAAAATCATTGAGAATCATTGAGAATTGCTACCATTCTGAAAGTGTCACTGGATTGCTGTAACATTTCTTATGAGTTAGACCAGACTTTCCCGTCAGAACACCAAGTAAGAATGTCTTCTAGGAGGGGCGCCTGGGTCACTTGGTTGAGTGTCCAACTCTTGATTCGGCTCAGGTCATGGTCTCAGGGTTATGAGATTGAGCCCCATGTTGGGGGCTCCACACTCAGGGGGGACCCTGCTTGGGATTTTCTCCCTCTGGCCCTCCCCCTGCTTACACACATGCTCTCTCTCTCTAAAATAAATAAATAAATCTAAAAAAAAAAAAAAGAATGCCTTCTAGGAAGATGCTCCTAATTAAAAAAGGATACAGATTTAGATTTTATTTTATTATGATTTACAAATGAATGTAAATCTCCTTTTACAGGCACTAGACATTTATCCTCAACAATTAACCACTGAATTCATTTTCATGAACAAGCTTGAACTGTTCAAATTAACTTCATTTCATAAGTTATTCTAAAAGCCAATTTCATCTCAAATTATACCTACCCGCATTTGAATTCAATAAATCATTAGATAAAAATAAAGTATGTAAAAATTTTAATGCAAAGATACATTGTACTATGATATCCTAATAAATAGAACAAAGTAATCTTTATTCTGCAACATAACATTTTTCTTGGTTCCTGACATACATTATCTACTTATTCTCAGGTATGTACATTTTAGTTTATCCCCCCCTCTATGGGAAAATGCCTAAATTTTAATTTTACATCATCAGTAGAAAATAGAAAATAAAATGACCAAAGAATGACCCATAAATGTATCCCACATTTATTGCAAGCATAAAGGGAGAGCAAGAAAAAAATGTCAACTCTCTGAAAGCCAGACTGGGACTCTGAATTAATTTGGTTTTTTTCTTGCTCTAGTGGGACTATGGTACTAGGATTCATTGAATGGTCAGTGCAGAAATTCTCAGGAAAGGATATTTCATTTCTCACCTACCGTTAAATTCAGAATTAGTCACCAGATTTATTCAGGGACATACCGTGGGGTCTCAAGTCCTCTCCAACTGTCATTGCTATACCAAGGGCTTTATATATTTTCCAGATTAGTTATTACCTAAGACAGCAAAATAAAATACTTAATGTATATTAATATGAAAAGTACATGCAAATCTATATTTATACAACTGATTAAAAGAGGAAAGAACTGGGGTGCCTGGGTGGCTCAGTTGGTTAAGTGTCTGCCTTCAGCTCAGGTCATGATCCTGGGGTCCTGGGATCAAGCCCCACATCAGGCTCCCTGCTCAGCTGGGAGTCTGCTTCTCCCTCTCCTTCTGCCCCCCACCCCCAGCTCATGCTCTCTCTTGCTCTCTCTCTCAAATAAATAAAATCTTAAAAAAAAAAAAAAAGGAAAGAACTATACACTGATAATGCTTATTACTTGATTCTTTTGTTTGGTGATAAGCGCTAAGCAACACAACTACTGGTGGTTTGAGAAGGAATGCTGGCAGAGTCGATATCCTCACCTAGAACCCAAACCAAAGTACCATTTCTGAAGAGTGGTTGAACTCAAAAAGCGGGAATCAGAATGTACACAGGGATGATAAGTGTCTTAGTCTATTTGGGCTGCCATAACAATGTACCATAGACTGGGGAGCTTACAAACAACAGTAATTTATTTCTCACAGTTCTGGAGCCTGGAAGTCCAAGATCAAGGTGCCAGCGGATTCAGTATCTGGTGAGAACTTCCTTACTGGCTCTTTGATGGCCATCTTCTTGCTGTATCCTCACATGGCTGAGGAAATGAGAGAACTCTCTGGGGTCTCTTTTATAAGGGCACTAACCCCATCATGAGGCACCACCCTTATGACCTAATCACCTCCCAAAGGCCCCACCTCCTAATACCATCACATTGGGGGTTAGGTTTCAACATATGAATGGGGGGGGCCATAAACATTCAGTTCCTAATAAGAATGCATTACTATTTACATGTAAAGTAGCCAGTATTGTTGAGATGTACTCGTTATATGGCTAAAATTAGAGCCTATTCACTTAAATAAACTATATCCATTTTTGATCAGTAACATTTTATAGGAAAGCATTTAACCAATAAAGTTGAATTAAAAAGACAATAAAACATTAAGTAGAATAGGGATCAAGTAAATAATGTTGGTTCTTCTAGTGACACAGAAAATACCTAAAGTGATTACAATACTGTAATTTTGCTAATACTGCACCAAAAGAAATGTGTCCCTCAGTGAGCAAGGGAAAGACATCTTCCCCAGTCTTTTTGAGGTGGATGCCTGCTTTTAGAATAGCCAACTTTACCCTAGCCCACGTAGCTCTGGAAAGGAGAAAAGGACTGGCAGCTTGCCCTATTGGAATGTCAGCAGATTGTGCACTGATCCGACAGAAAGAGGTGAGCTGAGGAGTGGGTGGTTTTTGTTTTCCTGCTTTTCTAATAAATCTGTTAGTAGTTTTCCAGTCACTTTCTGATCTACATGGTAAAGGATGTCCCGCTAATTTTAGAGATATTGTACATATTAAAAAAAAAAAACTAATAGGAAGAAAAAGCCATTCAACAAATATTAATATTGTAAAGAAAGTGTTTTATTATAATATTTAATGAAGATGAGCAGCAATGTTAATACAAAATTCTTTCTCAAGCCCTCTGACAGACCTCAAGCCCATTTTCCCCCTTCAAGTTTAGGAAGGTACAAGTAAAACACTTTTGGGGGCACAAAAGACAAAAAGTTTCTTGTTAGGGTGTATCGTAGCCCCAGGATCTGTAGCACCCCTTTGGAGGTCATATGGATAAGGTGGAACCACACCTCCCCAAGGCAGTTTCCATAACCTCTACGGAGAAGGTGACCAGGACATGGTTGAGAGTCAGAGGATGCTGTTAATAATCACACCAGAACACCAGGTGCAAGTGAATCACGAGGGGCAAACTGGCACACACCCAACAAATACATCTTTGTAGCTCTAAGATTTAAGGGCAAATCAGGCATTGGTACGTTGGTTCTCACTCCAATTTGGAAGACTCATTGCAAGAGAATTTTGCATGAGGAGTTTGCAAGAGGCCTGGGAGGGAAGCCCATGTGCTCTGGAAAATGTGTATCTTGTGTGTTTACCCCTTTTAAATAAAGGTAACTATGGTTTGAACAGATCAATTATATACAGTTAACATAAACTCCCGCCCCCACATTTATCTTTTTAAGAATTTTATTCATTTTCTTCCTAGAGAAGGCGTGTATTTTAGAAGCAAATGCCTTTGCCCCCTCCCTTTTTTAAGAGCAAATATCCCCCCAAACTTACACAGAAAACTCCAACCTTATTTTTTTCCTACTGAATGTATTATTTATTTTTAACTGTGGTAAAAGACACATAAAATTTACCATCTTAACCTTTTCCAGTGTACAGCTCAGTAGTGTTAAGTCTACACATCCAACCTTACCTTGCAGATCAGATGATTAGCATACTAATGAAAGAAATACTAGTAGTAAATGCAATATGAGTTTGAACACAGGCTTACAGGCAACTAGAAACACTCCAAGATATTTACAAGCAAAGGCAACAACGGCATGGATTCCTCAGAATATGTAGAATTCTCTAGATTTTTAGCCTGTTAAGTTTCTCTCCTTTTTACTGTAGCGAAAGTCTTCTAAACCACTGTATAAATTGGGAAATTTATGTTGAGCACCTGCCTTGCAAAGAACCTCAACTAATGAAATAAAGTTCAGTTTTCAAGGGAAGTCAAGATAGTTCTGTCATTGTGGAAAACATTATATTTTATGAAACAGTGTACAAACAATGCAAAGTAACACTATAAACTATAGACTGTTATATTATTAGTCTTTCGAAAAAGATTTCTGTAAATATGTCATGAAAAAATTTTAAATTCTAGGCACTTCAGGCATTTTCTTTAAAATGTCCCGCATATGCTTTCTATATGATCAAGTCCTGAAGTAATATATCTAATCTTCAGAATTGCAAAAGGATTCCCAGTTATAAGTAAAATCTTGTTTTCTTTGAACTACAAAATATTTTTTCTATACCATAAACTGATAGTAAGCATATCATGTACTAGGAATGACAACTGAAGATCAGGGCAAATACTGAGAAGGCCTCATAAAAGAATATACATTCATGTTTTAAAATAAAATATACCTAAAACCATGGCCAATGTTCAGCGAGCCAGGAAGTACCAGTTTGGGCCGTAGGGTTGTTTCTGAAAGGCCTGCCTTCTGGATGGTCGGTGTCTGTGCCTTTCTAGTTGTTAAATATTTTGATTGCCATCCCTACTTATAACTCTACAGAGCTACTAATAAACATAAAAAAGCAACGCAGAAATATCAGACATAAAAAGACATTACAATTACCAACAGGTTGCTGTAACGAGAAACTCCCGTCTTGCGCTGCTACTTCAGCGTTAAATGTCATTATCAATAAAATTAAGAACTCGTTTACCGAAGAGCTTTCCTCAAAGACTGACGAAGCACTGCCACACCAAGAAATGCATATCTATAATTATTATTAAATGCAGGTGTTTAGAATAGTCCAGTTAGCAATTTTTAAAAAGCTAGTATTTATTAAAGCAAAGTACTGCCTAGAGATGAGCACCTTAGGGGGTCACTTGGCTAGCTGAAGGCTGGGGTTTCGCTTGTATATTCAGTACATAATCATGACGGAAGGAAGAGCGGACAGTGCGATTCATTAGCGGCTGAAGGGGGCGGAAATTGTCCACCATTCTTTTCTCTTTCTCCCCCTCTGAAGTGAAAAGCAGGGTCCGAAACTGTTCAAGCTAGAAACAGAAGTAGGAAGCATAAATAATTTCAATAGAGTAACAGCTTAACTTTCATTTTTACAATTCTCAAACATTCTTCCACAACGAGACACAGTACTTCTTTCTGGGTAGGAATGCCTTTCACTGCTAGACAGGGAATAAAATATGTGGGGAGGAGAGCGAGAGGAGGTGGTAAAGCCAATGTGGTACTTGGAATCTGAAGACTGGGGGTCAAAGGCCCTGTCCCCCACATATTGGCCATTTGCCAAGGACAAGTTACTTCATCTTTGATTCTAGGAACCTCATCTTTATTTTTTTTAAGATTTTATTTATTTATTTGAGAGAGAGAAAGAGAGAGCAAGCATAAGTAAAGGGGAGCAGCAGTGGGAGAGGGAGAAGCAGGTTCCCTGCAGAGTAGGGAGCCCAACGCCAAACTCGATCCCAGGACCCCGGGATCATGACCTGAGCCGAAGGCAGACGCTTAACTGACTGAGCCACCCAGGTGTCCCTAGGAACCTCATCTTGAAATGGGCAAAATAGCCTACAGGATAATATAGGGAAGACCTGATGCATATAGTAACAGTGCTGAAAATGTTTTGTTTTTTCAAAATGTAACTAAATCATTAACATAAACAATGTATTATTCATTGCTCACCGTACCTGGGCACTGTGGGGAAGGCAGTGTATGTGGGTATCTTTTTAACAGGCAGTGGGATACCCCCTACCATCACTGTCCAGAAGAATTTGCTGGGATGATAGAAATGTGCTCTGCATGATACATTATGGTAGCCGCAAACCACATATGGCTACTAAGTGCTTGAAATGTGGCCAGTGCAACTAAGGAACTGAATTTTTCTGTATTTATTTTTAATTTTTTTATTTATTTATTTTTTAGTAATCGCTACACCCATTGTGGGGCTCAAGCTCACAACCCCGAGATCAAGACATGCATGCTCTATTGACTGAGCCAGCAAGGTGCCCTGTAACTGAATTTTTAATTTAACTTTTATTTTAATGTATTTTTATATATATATATTTTTAAGATTTTATTTATTTATTTGACAAAGAGAGACACAGTGAGAGAGGGAACACAAGCAGGGGGAGTGGGAGAGGGAAAAGCAGGCTTCCCGCCCAGCAGGGGGCCCAATGTGGGGCTCGATCCCAGGACCCTGGGATCATGACCTGAGCCAAAGGCAGATGCCTAACGACTGAGCCACCCAGGCATCCCTGTATTTATATTTTAATTTAAATGGCCACATGCGGCTAGTAGCTAATGGATTGGACAGTGCAGCTCAGTACAAAAGGAGCAGCCTCAGATCAAGGGCTTGTTCTCTGACATGGCAATAGCATCACTCACCCCCTGGCTTTCTGAGCAACTGTATTTTGGAACACTTGACTTCAAGCCAGCCATAAGACCTTTTCACAGCATTTCTCCTCACTCAATCAGGCACACTGCAGCTATGGAGAGAACAGCTTGGAGCACAGTAGGCAAGCATGTTTGGACCAAAGACTTCAGGTCAAGTAGAGCTGCAGAGGCAGGACTGTGACCAGGGGCAAGTGCCAAACATAGTGACCGTACTTGCAAATTACACATATACCCTCATAAATTAAGAACATGTCCAAGTAGTTAAGATTTATTTTTTTTATTCAGCTAATTGCAAAGGATTAGAAATAGCTCAAGTATCAACAATAAGTTACATTAGGGGTGCCTGGGTGGCTCAGTCGGTTAAGCGTCTGCTTCAGCTCATGATCCAAGGGTTCTGGGGTCGAGCCCCACGTCGGGCTCCCTGTTCAGCGGGAAGTCTGCCTCTTCCTCTCCATCTGCCTCTCCCCCTGCTCATGATCTCTCTCCCCCTCTCTATCTCAAATAAATAAATAAAATCTTTAAAAATAGTAAGTTACATTAGATCTATAAAATGGACTAGTACATTGCCATAAAAAATGATATTGAAGATAATGCTTATTATCTATAAAATGTTCTACATATCACTGAGTAAAAAGAGGAACAAAATGGTAGGTACAGAATGATTCCATTTGTTTAAGAAACTTATGTATATTTATGCAGATAAAAGACCAAAAGGATTTATGTGTATCTGTACAGATAAAAAACCAGAAGGATTTACCCAATGACTGACACTGATTATAGGTTACTGGGATTATAGATGACAGCTAACATTTTTTTTCTCAATGAATTTTCTGTTTGAGATTTCATTTGAAAACTCCTCACATGGGCCACTGACCCTCTGATTTATTGATTTTACTGATTTATTTTTCAGTGTTACGTCAGTTTTTAAATATGAAGGAGAGATGCAGACTAAACGTATAGGCCACCAAGCCCAGGCTTATGACAGTTAAGCTATTTTTTGTCATTTGTTTTTGGTGGTTTTCATCACACAGATTTAAAAAAAAAATTTCATGGTCTAACTTACTAGTTACTTTCTTTAGGACTTCTGGGTTTGATATAATGTTAGAAAAGTTCCCTCCACTTGGAGGTATAAAAGATTTCTCTATGCTTGTCCTCGCACTTTTATGGTGGTGTTTTTAACATTTAATATATCTGGAATATATTCTTGCGTGAGGTCTGAATGGTGGATCTAACTTTTCTTCCCCCAGTGTCGGCCCAGTTGTCCCCCAACAGCCTTTACTGAAGAATCTCATCCCCACCCCCCCAAATGAGATGAGATGCTACCTTTATCACAAACTAAATTCTCATATGTACTTGGCCGCATTCCTGAACTTACCACTTTCTCCCCTCCAGTGATCTCTTGTGTGCCAGTACCACACTATTTCATTATTGAGGCTTTATAACTTTGTGGATCTAATCATCTCTCATTTTTTCTTTCAGAATTTTCCCTGGCTATTTATGCATGTTTGTTTTTCTGTGTGATTTTAGAAGTAGCACATCTATCTAAAAATCCTATTGGCACAGTAAATGAACCACATCAAATTTAGGGAGAATAAACAATTAATGGAGAATAACAACTGAAAGAGAGTTGACATCGAAGTTGTTTTTATGCTGTCTTCTGATTAATAGTGTGGTATGAATTTTATGAATTCTTTTATGTCCTTCAGGGATGTTTTAAGTTTACATGTTAAATTTTGTTAGACTTACTCTAAGGCATTTTATATTTTTGTTTCCATTATAAATAGTGTTCATTCTTCTATTATAACTTTGTATCATTACATCCTTTAACTGATTATGATTTATATATGTTAAATGCATTGATTTTTATAAATTAATATTATACTCCACTAATTACTGAATTACCTTATTTTTGAAGTAGTTTTTTATTGTTTCTCTAATTTTTTTCTTTTTTGGTCTAATCGTATTGGCTACTTCAGGAACATAATACAAAATTGTATATGGTAGGGCGCCTGGATGGCTCAGTCGTTAAGCATCTGCCTTCAGCTCAGGTCATGATTCCAGGGTCCTGGGATCAAGCCCTACATCGGGCTGCCTGCTCCGCGGGAAGCCTGCTTCTCCCTCTCCCTCTCCCCCTGCTTGTGTTCCCTCTCTCACTGTGTCTCTCTCTGTCAAATAAATAAAATCTTTAAAAAAAATTGTATATGGTAATAATCTTTCTCTATTAGGCATACTATTTATTTTTGAACTCAGAGCAATCCCTTTTATCAAGTTAGGGAACTCTCCATTCATTTCTATTGTATTTAAAAATTTAAGAAATTGAGGGGCCCCTGGGTGGCGCAGTGGGTTGAGCATCCAACTCTTGGTTTTGGCTCAGGTCATGATCTTAGGGTCATGGGGTCAAGCCTTGCTTCAGGCTCCGAGTGCCGAGCTCAGTGAAGAGCCTGCTGAAGTTTTTCTCTACCTCTCCCTCTGCCCCTCCCTGTGTGCTTGTTCTCTCTCTAAAATAAATAAACCTGGGGCGCCTGGGTGGCTCAGTCGGTTAAGTGCCTGCCTCTGGCTCAGGTCATGATCCCAGGGTCCTGGGATCATGCCCCGCATCGGGCTCTCTGCTCCGCGGGAAGCCTGCTTCTCCCTCTCCCTCTCCCTGTGGCTCTGCCTACTTGTGCTCTCTCTCTCTGTCAAATAAATAAATAAAATCTTTAAAAAAATAAATAAACCTTAAAAAAATTTTAAAACTGAATAGTGAATTTTGTTAATGCCTTTTAACAATATATGGAAATGGTTACATGATTTTTCTACGTAGATTCACTGATATGATGAATTATATTAATATCATTCCTAATAATGAACCATCCTTACTTTGCTGGAATATACACTATTTGGTTGAAGTGTTATTATTTCTTCTAATGTACTGCTAGCTTCTATTTCTCATATATTATTTTTGCTTTCTTTAAAATATATTCTTCAGAGGGGTGCCTGGGTGGCACAGTTGGTTAAGCATCGGACTCTTGGTTTCGGCTCAGGTCATGATCTCAGGGTCATGGGATTGAGCCCCATGTGAGGCTCTGCGCTAGGCATGGAGCCTATTTAAGATTCTCTCTCTCCCTCTGCCCCTACTGCTCATGCTCTTTCTCTCTCTCTCCCTCTCTAAAATAAATAAATAAATCTTTTAAAAAATTAAGTATATTTTTCGATCTTTAGTTTATCTTTACTTTTTGGTCCAATATTTGATGGACGTTGGTATCCGTTATCCTGACTTCATAAAAAAGATTTTGGAAGCTTTTGCTCTTGTGAAAATGCTTTGTAATTAATAAAAAGCCCATAAAGCAAGCATATACAAATATTACTGTAGTTTAGTTAAATTATGAATTAAACAGGATTTTGTTCGTTGACATAGTAATCACCACTTAAACTTACTTTTATTTTTTATTTTTTACTTTTTTAAGATTTTATTTATTTATTTGACAGAGAGAGACAGTGAGAGCAGGAACACAAGCAGGGGGAGTGGGAGAGGGAGAAGCAGGCTTCCCGCTGAGCAGGGAGCCCGATGTGGGACTCGATCCCAGGACCCTGGGATCACGCTTAACGACTGAGCCACCCAGGCGCCCTTAAACTTACTTTTAAAGAAAAAATAAACTCCAAGTTCAAAACATCTGACTCAGAATTTCTGGACAGACATTGTTGGATTCTGTCTTTATCCTGAGGTTCCAGAGCAAAATTTCCTTATGGATTTTAAAGGGTTTTGAGCACATCCATTTCCAGCCTTCATTCTTCCCTTTAAAAGGGTCTTGTTTATATAGAGATTCATATTTATATATAAAATACACAATGCATAAGACATATGTCATTGCCAAATATGAAAGTAAAAAGCTTGTTTCCTAAATTTTAACTCTTCTCTCTAGTTGACTTGAAGCATTCCCTAATTTATATCCAAATTTTAAGACAAGATATTAGCACATTTTAATAAAAATGTATAAGCATTACAAGATATTAACAACTGATGCCAAAGTTGGAGCCTAGGCTTGTTTTAAATGGGCAGGCTAGCATTTCCTCAGACAGAAATGTGGAAAGAACATACCTGATCATGATCAACCTCTACAGGTTGCTTCTTAATGATCCAGGTGACGGACTCGGAGAGTGGCGGGGTAGTCAGGGATCCCGAGTAGGTCCAGTAATCTGGGCAGGCAGGCATTAGGCAGGAAGGATCAAATGACCCAAATTCCACAAGGGTGTCCTGGCCAAGAGAAGAAGTCACCAAGTTATCATCTCGTGGTGAAAATCACTCAGGAATCAGATGATGAAGTGATGAATCTCGGGGAGGCTGGGGACCATCAGTGGTCTAGAGGATCTCTGGGTACCTTAGGACAGAATCACGCCCATGCCTTGTTCCTGTAATTAACTATGTAGTTCTGATAGTCCTCCACGGGAACACGGCACAAACCACTTCCTCCCTCCATTCTGTAAGTTTACTGCAGGTGGTCCCCTCTGAACTCTTTGGGAGGCATCAGGCAGTAGCTGGTGCATGAACAAGGAGACTTCTCTTTTTCAAGAGAAACCAACAGAATTCTCCTTTCTTAAAACACAATGCAAATTTGGGGGAGCCAGGCTCCTGGACAAAAAGGGGAGACAGAAGAGAGGGAAGGGAAAAGAGGGAGATAGACAGGCAGAGAGAGGGAAAGAGGTGGTGGGGAGAGAGACCGAGGTGGGGAGGACAGGGAGAGAGGGAGGGGGGAGAGAGGTAGAGAGAGAGAGAAGACGCAGACCTCCAGGGAACAGCCCCTTCGGGATTCTGAATCATGAACAGTTAGTCCTGGGGCCTGGACAAAGGTATCCATTCTGAAGGATACAGGTCATTGTTCTTTTTTTTTTTTTTTTTAAAGATTTTGTTTATTTGACAGAGAGAGAGACACAGCGAGAGAGGGAACACAAGCAGGGAGAGTGGGAGGGGGAGAAGCAGGCTTCCTGCGGACCGGGGAGCCCGATGCGGGGCTCGATCCCAGGACCCTGGGATCATGACCTGAGCCGAAGGCAGACGCTTAACAACTGAGCCACCCAGGCGCCCCGGGTCATTGTTCTTTACAGCCGGCCAAGCCACGTTTCTGTCAAATGCTTCTCTGCTCCCTGCCCGTGGGACGGGAGGTTGAGTCAACAGGGCTGCTCTGGGTGTTTCCACAGGGACTCAGAAGGAGCAGAGGAGGGGACAGCACTGGGTTCCCGAGTCCCCCAGTGCTAGGGCAGGGCAGCAAAACCAAAGCGGTCAGCACGCACCCACAGAACCACTTCTGTCCCCTGCAAGGTGTCCCAGGGCCGGGGGCTCTCAACACACGCATATGAAGTGGCAAGTGCTCTTTCTCGACAACTCGCAACGTGCCTTGTGAGTGTCTCTACTCTTGAGATTAAACATAACATGTATTTCAAGTGACTTAGGGAAAAATAGTATTACCTTATGCTTGATCGATGGCAAAGCATCCACCAATTTCTGTAGCTCTTTGTGATGTTTGCCTAGCTAAAAGAGCAGCAATGAGAAAATATTAAAAACAATTGACATCTCACTTTTGAAATCATGACAGAATGTGAATTAAAATTAGTCACCTGGTGATTACATAAAAACAAACCAATCACACGACCTATACTACACTTAAACTGGTAATTTAGATCACTAAAAACGTCACTGAATTCAATTAGATACAGAACAAATGAGCAGGCTGTTTGCTGACAGGGTCTGCGTGCCTGCAGGGAAACGTGCCCCTGCTCCACTTAAATATCAGTCCTTATGTTGAAATTTTAATTAATTAAAATTAAAAATTTTTCCACCAAGGAGGCCCATTTCGAGAGCTCATTTGCCACATGTGGCTTGTGACTACTCTATTGGCCTGTGCATTTTTATACCACTTGAAATATATTCATAGCAATCTTGTATTTTAACCACTGTTCATTTTGTTTCTTTCCTGTTTTAAGTTGAAGTGTAGTTGACACAAAATATTACTTTAGTTTCAGGTGTACAACATTCCACAAGCCAGTCATTGTTTCTTTTTAATCCCGATACACTTAGATCTTAATATTACAATGTTGTATCTTTTCATCCTAGGATACAACACATCATTTAAAGTTGGTCAGACTTTCTTACCTTTAAAAATACTCCGATCACAGCCAAACCATGTTCTTCCAATGCTGCATCCTCAAAGTTTTCAAATTTGACTGCATTCCAATGCACCAAATGCAGCTGAAACACCATTAAAAGCTGGTTTGACACATGACCGCATAGGATCACTCCAAAACAAACAGCCTTATTCAACACGGTATTTTAACATGGTTCCTCACCCAAATAAAGCTGCTGAGAAAAGCATACACCAATCTGGTGCAAAATGAGATAGAAATAAATAGGAAGAATTGCATGCAGGAGCAGCAGTTGATATTACTTCTTTTTTAAAAAAAGATTTATCAGGCACCTGGGTGGCTCAGTTGGTTGGACGACTGCCTTTGGCTCAGGTCATGATCCTGGAGTCCTGGGATCGAGTCCCACATCGGGCTCCCTGCTGAGCGGGGAGTCTGCTTCTCCCTCTGACCCTCCCCCCTCTCATTCTCTATCTCGTTCTCTCTCTCAAATAAATAAATAAATAAATAAATAAATAAAATAGATTTACTGATTTATCTTGGGGGGAGGGGCCGAGAGAGAGAGAGAGAGACTCTCAAGCAGACTCCACACAGAGGGTAGAGCCTGATCAGTGGGACTCAATCCCAGGACCCTGAGATCATGACCCAAGCCAAAATCAAGAGTCAGCCGCTCAACTGACTGAGCCACCCAGGCACCCCTAATATTACTTCTGAATAGAGGGATTTATTTGGAGAAAAATAAAAAAAAATACAACAAGGTGAGTAATATTTCAGTGAGGGAGCAACATCTGTCCATTCCCATACTGATTTGCATGAAACCATCATATCCAAAATCTATTTGCATCCTAAGGAGAGAGGTTTATGTTGAGAGAAATAGATTCTCTCCATGGGAATTAGACAAGAGTTGAAGACAAATTTCTTTGAGGGATAACCACTTAAAATGTGCTTCTTTTTAAGGTAACATCTAAAACTAAATTAGGGGAAAAACTGTAAGAAGAAATTCTACTTCCTTATGCCTTCCCTATACTTCCCTACAAATTATTTCTTGTCCATCATTCACGAATGCGTCATCACCCAGCCTCCCAAGTAGACCCTCAAGGTCACGGTTCACTTGTTCCTCTCCTCTCCTGAAGTGGACCCTGCCTCCAAGTCCTGTGCCTTTTTATTTCAGAAATGCCTGTTAAATCTTGCTCTTTTCCTCTATTTCTATCGCCACAGCCTTCCTCGAGGCTCCTACCAATTCTCACTTGGATTAATTCAACCTGGTGGCCCTGCATGGTGGCCTGGGTTATAACTTCAGGCTATAATTTGAGCCTAGCTTAGAATTCTGGAAGGATTCTGTTTTAGGATCTTAAGGTTCATTTCTGCTCTGTTATTTGAGATGAGGGCAGATCATCATGTTTACATGTATAAACTGGGAGTAATCACATATGCCTGAGAGAGCGCTTTAGCATTTATAGGACCCCCCACCCCGATTTTTCCTGAGGCTGTCTTAGAAACACAGCACTGTCCCCGCCTCACAGTGGTCACTGCTCCCAAGCTGCTCAACATACCTCTGCCGGGTAACATTTGCTGTCCACGGTGTGCTCGGAGCCCCATGCATCGATGGCACCCCAGTGAAAATGGAATTGCTTCAATCGGTAGTTGTGCTCCAGGGGTCCTCCCTCGATCACTGAAATGGCACGCCCAACAATTCAGGGGACAGTTTTTCACACCATGGGGGAATGTGGCAGGGGGGAAGGCCAGAGCTTTGGGTGGACCTTCTACATAAACCTGTCTTAAGCGGAGCCCACTTAGATATTAGATACAAGTGTATAGAAACTTGATTTCCACACAGTCAATACAGGTATCAGGGCACGACCTGCACTCTGAAAGACACTGAGATTTAACGGCACTCCAAGCTACCTACAACTGTTACAGGCCAATTCTTGGCTTATTTTTATATTCTATATTTACTGTGCCCACTTTTTTTTTTTTTTACAGGAACATGAAATAAGTTTACGGGTTTTATTATCAAAGTCTTGTAAAACAATTTTAGAAACTATACATCAACATGGCATAGACTGTAGCCTACTTTAGTTTCTACCGCACAGAAGTGAAGCTTGAAACTCCTGTAACTAAGAACCCAGCTGCCTAACTATGTTGCATTTCACATGCGATCACTGTGTGCATCAGACTACTATTACAGTAACAGTAACAAAAGGTATTGGTTTTATACTTGAGGTCAAACAAAAAGTACCTTATAAAGTACATCTGTCTTATATGAAGGTCCATTTAAAATGCACTACCCTCTTTTCCAATACTGAGATGAAAACAAATTAATGAAAGAGTGGAAAATTGAAAATCAGGACAAGAGACGACTTTCTTTTACAGATGGACTCAGGCAGATCGCTTTCACTGCCGTAGAGGTGGGATAAATGATTTCAGGGAAAAAAAATTCCTAAACACCTTAACGAAAAAGTATATGACTCTACTTCAAAATATGCTACTTATTCACCGCCAAAGACAGTTTCATTTGAAATCTTGTTTCTGTAATTAAAGCCTAGTCGGCCATTAAAAAAAATGAGTGCATACATAACCTTTCAAAGTTAAACAAAAGCCACTAAAATTTAGCTATGAGGCTTAAAGGATTATCTATTTCAAATGTTCATTTTCAGATGTAACTATAAGAACGCTAATTTGTCATGTCAGCACACAAGACCATAAGCAGATCCATTACGTTGGAGGATTTTAATGGCATTTAGGATATTCCTGCCACAATTAACACGCATTCCCTATATGGCTCTATTACAGCAATGAACCAAATTCTAGAAATACTATAAGTGAACTTACTTAATAAAGGAGATCACACAACATGAACAATTCACGCCTGCTGTGGATGCACGCTGCTTTTCATGTTTGTTATGAAGCAGCACCGGAAGACTCAAATTGCTTGGTTACCCAATCAGATTTCATCATGCCATGAACTGGTTACTCCTGTATCACTTTGCACAAGCTTTGGGGATGTGAGTAACTAATATCAGTATCAGGAGCTATGTAACCATTTATAACTCAGAGCTGTATCCACATGGGTTTGAGAAAAACAAATACAGCATTAAGAAGTCAGACAGAGGAACGGCCGGCTGCTGGTAGGAGTACGCAGCTGGCTCCCCATGGAGGCAACGTGCAGCCACGCCCATGTCTATCTTCTTCAAATCCAAATGTTGTATTGCTTTTGAATCTTCTGGTTTTCAACCTACCCAGATATAGACTAATCTTTTTTCTCTTTGTCGCTATCATCCCCTTGTTCCTCTCCATCACAATCCTGTGTAACTTTTACATCTTTGTCACTCTCTGATTTTCTTTCCTGATGATCCTTTTCCCGATCTTTCCTTTTCTTCTTCTTGCTTGTTGATTATTCTCTTTTTCTCTCTTCTTTCTTTGTCTTTATCTTTCTTCTTCTTCTTTTTGTCTTCTAGGGGATGGTGAGTGAGACGATTTTCTCTTAGGTGACCTAGGCTTTTAGGAGATCTTGTGCCACTCCTACTTCGTCCTTGTCTCTCTCGGCTTGCGCTTCTGGAACGTCTGGCTGTGCTCTAACTTTTTGGTGGTTATTTTGGAAGATTCCTTGTCGTTACCTTCTTTCTTTTTGGCCCTGGTTTTTGATGTACTCCTTTACCTTCTACCTCTCTCTCTCTGGAATGAAATCTTTTCTGTCTTGGACGTTTGGATCACCACCTACTCCTTGACTTAGAATGGGATCTCCTTCTCAATCTGCTTCTTGATTGCCTATGCCTAGAAGATGAGGGAGCCCTCCTCTTCCTAGAACATGATCTTGACCTTGAATTATTGTGCCTGCTTTCTAATTGTGCAATAAAATGCAAATTTCTCTTAGCATATTTATCCAATCCAATCTCATAAAACTGAAATGTGGGGACAAAAGATGCTCTTTCTTTATGCACGGATATGTTTTTTTTCTTAAGTAAACTCTATACCCAACATGGGGCTCGAACTCACAACCCTGAGATCAAGAGTCACATGCTCTATCAACTGAGCCAGCCGGGTGCCCCTTGTTTTTCAATTTTGGAAGATGCTACCATTTCTTTCCCTTTCATTGAAATGGAATAGGAAATTTGCAAGTGAAAAATTATCACCCCTCTCTCTTTGAACACAGTGAACAATGTGAGTCATCCACACTCTACCACTGGCCTCACCATGTTGGATAATAAATACCTTCTGTTTAGAGTTTTCTGAACTAGTGAAATCAATACATTAAACGCAAAACATTCAGATAAAATGAGATTTTAAAATCACCCTTCCTCAGACTTCGGGTTGTGCTGGTATTTTTTCCCTTGAATTTGCTAACACATATTAATTAGTTCCTCTTTTCTTCCATCTAATCCAACCCTGGTGATGTCTGTCCATGGTTAAACCAGTACAATAGCCACAAAACCCACCCATCTCATCTATCTTAGTGATCTTTAGTGTTTCTTGTATCACTAGCTGAATTTTATGTATGACAACAGCAACCCCAAGGACCAAATACACTGGATATGTCATGCAGTGGTCTGCTATTATCTTACTGCCTTTTGAAAATATTTTACATAATTTCTTTAAAAAAAAGTTTTTGAGGGCGCCTGGGTGGCTCAGTTGGTTAAGCGACTGCCTTCGGCTCAGGTCATGATCCTGGAGTCCCGGGATCGAGTCCCACATCAGGCTTCCTGCTCGGCAGGGAGTCTGCTTCTCCCTCTGACCCTCTTCCCTCTCGTGCTTTCTATCTCTCATTCTCTCTCTCTCTCTCAAATAAATAAATAAAATCTTTTAAAAAAATAAATGAATAGGGGCGCCTGGGTGGCTCAGTTGTTAAGCCTCTGTCTTCGGCTCAGGTCATGATCCCAGGGTCCTGGGATCGAGCCCCACGTCAGGCTCCCTGCTCGGCAGGAAGCCTGCTTCTCCCTCTCCCACTCCCCCTGCTTGTGTTCCCTCTCTTTGCTGTCTCTCCCTCTGTCAAATAAATAAATAAAATCTTTAAAAAAAAAAGTTTTCTAAAGAGGTGAGCAAAGATACCAGTGAGAACTTTTCTTTGAGGGGCAGGGGAGGTGCAGAGAATAATACCACCTGATTCACTAAGTTACTAGGAGGATGGTACTAGAGCATACTGAAACAAAAATAAAATTATCTTCCCAAAACGTGTTTTGCTAGGCCAGCTCCATACTGTGAGCTTGATTTTGGCAGATATTCAATCTAATGTGTTTAATGAAATTGAAGGTCTCGTCCCAAGTTAAGTGAGCAAGGTGAGAGAGGAAGGCCTTCTCTCCTATCCCCAGAAAAACTGGCAACATACCCTGGACACTCACTGTGTGTCTCCTCTCAAGATAATGAGCAAGGCAGAGAGATGTCAGCAATGGGTAGCTGCAGGGGGAAGGGGGCAGAACTGGTCTTCAGGTGTGTTTTGATTCACCCACACAATACTAAATACATTTTAAAGTTCATTACCAACATTTAAAGCTAGACAATTTCACATAAAAATCCACATTTGCCACTTGAGAAAGAGATGTCCTGCCCATGTTGGGCACATGCTCTCCAGGCAACAGGCTGGGCGGGAGAAATGGCCACTGCCTTTAGATGGTCCTGACAGTTCTTCAGTCACCATCACTGCCATTTCTTCCACTCTCCCAGCCTGGCTCAGGCTCATTATCTCTACGGCACTGTACCTCTGTCTTTGTGATCTCTGGGAGGGAAGTTAGATACCCAGGCATCTGACTTGGGCACTTCTAGCCAGAAAAATCATTAAGTCTCTACATGTAGGGGCGCCTGGGTGGCTCAGTCGGTTAAGCATCTGCCTTCAGCTCCGGTCATGGTCCCAGGGTCCTGGGATCGAGCCCGGTGTCGGGCTCCCTGCTCAGCAGGGAGTCTGCTTCTCCCTCTTCCGCTGCCCCTTACCCCCAACTCATGCTCTCATTCTCTCTCAAATAAATAAATAAAATCTTTTTTAAAAAAGTCTCCACATGTGCTGGGTACTACACCTATATAAATTGTACATAGGGAAGAAGTGAGGCAGGGAAGTATTCTCCTGTATGATGTGGTTAAGAGCATTCACTTTACAGGAAAAGGACCTCAGTTTGCATTCATGGGCTTTGTGTCATTAGCCATGTGTCCTGGCAGTTTCTAAGATGACTCTCAGTGATCCCTATCTCCTGGTCTTCACACCCTTATGTAATTTCCCCTGAGTATGAGCTGGACCTTGTGACGTGCTTCTAAGGGCAAAATTGATGGGATGTCACCTTTGAGATTAGGTTACAAAAAGATGCTGGTTGCCATCTCGCTTGCCCTCTCAGACTCTTCTTACTTGCTCGCTCTGACGAAGCCAGCTGCCATGTTGTGAGCTGCCCTACGGAGAGGACCACTTGGCAAGGAAAAGGGAGCGGCCTCTGGCCATCAGCCAGCAAAGAACTGAGGCCCTGAGAGAAACTGAATCCTGCCAACGGCCACTTGAGTGAATCTGGAAGAGGATCCTTTGCCAGAGGAGCCTGGAGATGAAACGCCAACCACGGCTGACACCTCAATCACAGCCGAGTGCAAGACCTAGAGCAAGAGTTCCCAGGTAAGGTGCACCCAGATTCCCCACCTCTGGGCACGGTCTGCAGAACTCTCCGAGTATCGGCTCCTGCCTACCTCAGGACGTGCTTGTATTCTTCCTTCTTGCACTCTACACACAGTAATACCTAATACAGGCATTGCACTTCCTTGAACCTCCACCTCCTTGTGGACTACCCAGATGTCACCTCTGCCAGGAAGCCTTCTCCCACTGGAGCCCACGTGAACACTTCCCTCACAGCACTTAGCACTCTGCGTTAGCGTTGTCTCTTCAAGGGTCTGTCTACCCCCTGACATTGTAAGCTCCTTAAAGGCAGTGACCATCCCTTCTTCCTCTTGCTATCGTGGGCACCTGGCACAGTGCCTGGAACTTAGAAGATCCTCCATGAAACCAGGGACTAAAGATAAAGAAATGGACTACAAAGTGTCTGTTGGGTTTGTTAATTGAAACATCACTGGTATCCTCAGCAAGAGCGAGGAAAAGGGTGGGGTAAGGGGGAGAAGAAGTGTAGATGAGAGGGGCCAAGTACAGTCAGCAAGAAACAAGCAGAGAAGGGAGACGGAAGATAGGAAATTAGAAAGCAGAGGAGTCATAAGATATTTCAAACAAATATATATTTATTTATTTGAGCTTGTTACCATTTTGTTCTTTTGGTTTTCTAAGGTGAGAAAGGATTAAACTTGTAAAAAATTAGACAACAAATATAAAACACCCAGCCTAGTGCTGGGCCTATGGTGTGCAATCTACGTAATGTTTGCTCCCTTCTTTTGCTTTTAACGTGAAGGTGAAGGAGCTAGCAGAGAAAAGGGATGATGAAGGGAAAGGTGATACACAGGACCCAAACAAATGAAACTAAATGCAAGGAAATGGGCACGGAACTGTCTGGGGGTGATGGAAATGTTCTAAAATTGGACTGTTCTAATGGTTCCACCACCTTGTAAATCCGCTAAAAATCATCACATTGTTTTCTCTGAAAAAGCAAATGTGGGACCAAAATTCGGAAGAACTTCAAATGTCTGTGGAAGCATTCTTCCTGGCTTTACCAGTGATGCCCCATAAAAGTGTAAAGTGATGCATGATGGGGCAGGAAGCACCCTTAGGAGAACAACAGGACTCATCTCTTCCTCTCTTTGAGGCCTGGTGACATAGGCGATGAGGGTACTTATGGAGGAGGTGAAATTATTAGAGATCATTCAAGGGCATAATTTAGTGCCCTTCCCCAGAATATTTTGTATCCCTCACATGCACTCATTAAAATCACTATCTGTGTCCTATTCAGGGGAGACAAATAAGAAAACACCACCCAGCAAAGGGCGGCGGTACGAGACGCTCACATACCTTCTCTTATTATCCTTTTAATTTCGGTAAGGGTGGTGGTGATGTCCCTCTTTCATTCCTGATTTTAGTAATTTGAATCTTCTCTTATTTGTGTTCTTGGTCCACCTGTCTAAGAGTTTATCAGTTTGGTTGATCTTTCTGGAGAATCAACTTTTGACTTCACTGATTTCTGCTCTGTCCTTTATTATGCCCTTCTTTGTGTCTGCTTTGGGTTTAGTTCGCTCTTCTCCTTCTAGCTCCTTAAGGTGGAAAGCTAGGTTATTGATTTGAGAAATTTCTTCTTCTCCAATATAGGCATTTTCATGTCTAATTTCCCTCTAAGCACTGCTTTTGCTGCATCCCATAAGGTTTGGTATGTTCTTTTTATCACATACCTTCCCCAAACCCTTTCCTCACATACCTTATCCCGAGTTCTTTGTAAAGCACACTGCAGCAGCATTGCCTAGTTTTTTAAAATTTATAGACATTGATATTTATTAGCTCCTTTCCTTTCTAGAATTAGAACCAATGTTCTTGCCTTCATTTCTAGGTAGTCTTTGCTCTCTTTTACTTTTTCTTTAGGTTTTATGTTCATTCACTCTTTCTTCCTCTTTGAATGCTATGAATTATTTTGCAACAGCATGGAGAAATAGCAATGAAGAATAAGCAGGAAATAGGAGGCAACCACTGAAATGTGGAAAAAGAAAGAGATAGAGAAAGTTAGGTACTTATCATAGATTAATGGTATCTTAAAGAAAATGATTATTAACGCTTAATAAAAAGAGGTTACCTATTTTGGTCCTTCCTAACAAAACAAGCAGAAAATTAGCAACCTCTCCACAATTTTTCTTGTATGTTTTGTAAAAACAGTGTGACACTCTGACACACCTAGGGAAGGTGATGTCAAGGAATGATTTAGTTAGTTGTCTTGGGAGGTACCTCATGAGCTATTATGAGGAAAATGCAAGTCATTTGTTTTCCATCTGAGACTGCCCAAGCAAACGGGTGGAAAAACATTCTTGAATCTATTGTTCAAAAGAAAAAAAAGGACTAAAAAATAAAACAGAAAGCTATTTGCCTGGAATGATCTGGAGATTAACTCACTTGGTTAAGAAACCAATTGAACAACTTCCCACAATTTCCAACTCAATGAAGCAATCATAGATCGGAAACACACAGTCTCTAGATCAGCAAGGTCATTAGAAGGCTAACCAACATTTAGGATCCTCAGAAAAAAAGAAAGAAGGTTGCCAGGGCCCTACACAGGACTGAGACTTGAGAGGATCGCCACGCATCCCGAGGGCACGCATGAGAGTTGGTGTTTACAGACTGGGTCTGCCCACTAGTCTAGTTGGCAGGAGTAACGGTAGAATTCGACAGAGACAAAGTAAAGCTCATCATCATGCAAGGTGGTCATCTGGGACAGAGGAATGTAGGTTGCTATTTTGAAGATTTCTGGAATCCTTATATACAGTGTAGTATTATAGGCTTCCAGTTGAGATGGGGGCACACTACGGGGTTTTGGAAAAAACTAGGAAAGATACTAATGGACTTGGGAGGAAAAGGAGTAATTACTTTCTTCTTAGTTTGAGAAATATATGTAAGATGGTCAAGGTTAGGGGGCCAGGTCATACCCTGGGGGAGAAAGAAGAAAATGGGGAACATAGGGACACCTAAACTCTTAAGGACAGACTTGAGCACTTCCTGGATCACGGCAGAGAAGCAGGTCAAAGGGAAGAAAGCCGGAGATAATTCCCAATGGAGAAGCAGTCAGTTTGTGGCTGGGGCCAGAGGGCTGGGTCTAAGTATCAGAGCATCACTAGGAAAATGAAGAGAGAACCAAGATACAGGTGAGAATCCTAGAGCCAGGACCAGGATAGATACAGGAGGGGACACTTCTGTTTATGCTTTAGGTTACATTTTTTACTTCCTTCATTCACACTTTCATGGGCTCATGTCCTCATATTCATGAGAGAAAACTAATTTCCGAAAGGGTTTCTCAATCTCGGAGGCTCTATTGATTTTTGAGGCTGGGTAAGTCTTTGCGAGTGCTGCCCCGTGTACTGTAGTTTTTCTTCAGCAGTTTTTCTGGCCTCGACCCAAAAGATGTCAGTTGCACCCCCCTCCACCCCACTCCGCAAGGGTGACAACTGAAAATGCCTACACGTGTTGCCAAGTCCCCCAGCCCCTGGGTAGGGAGATGGGGCAAAACTGCCACTGGTTGAGAGCCACTCTTTAAAGATATACTATTTCAACTAAAAATTATTTCAGACTAAGATTACCTGATACCATCAAATTTGGTTGGGAAAAAAAAAAGAAGAAAAAGAGAAAAGAAATCTACATAGAATTAATCACATTCTGTGTTCAACAGACACTAAAATTTTCAGGTAAACTTTGAAATCATTCAGATTAGTCTATATCTGGGTAGGTTGAAAACCAGAAGATTCAAAAGCAATACAACATTTGGATTTGAAAATCTCTTTTAAATTGTGTTTCTATTAAACCAGCTAACATTGTTTAATCAATAAAATAAACAGAATGTGAGTTTTCATTTTTCTATGTAGAACTGGTTGTTAAGACAATAACGTCATGTACACATGAATGTTCTTTTTACCCCATTTCAAAGGTATTGCAATCTGCTCAGTTAAATCTAAATAGTAATACTATTTAATGTAGAAGTGTCTTGTAAAGTCAGCAAGCAGAGAAAATTAGTACATATTCAATACACAGAAAATAAACTTCAGGCAAAGCTTTAATTTCAAAACCTATCTCCCATCTATATATAGAAATATACATACTTATTAATAAATACTACCTATACTAGAAGAAAATGTTCATAAAAACTAGACGGGATTTTTTTCATATGTTGAAAAAGCTCAGTGCAGTGAGTCCCATGCCACTGCCCAAGGCGGTCTGCGTGCCCGTGGATGCGGTGTGGTGTGGCCTGGGCTGACACGAGGCTGGCCCTTAACTCCAGACAAGACCGCCAGTCGGGCTCTCACCTGATTTATCTGCAGAATCTTCAAATTCCACGAGGAAAGAGTACCCGTTATTCCAGACATGGAGGCAGGTGGTGGGGTCGTAAGAGATGGTGAGCGGTTTTAAGCCAGGATCATAGACGCTGTCCCTCCACCGGATGTTGATGGGCGACTGGCGCTCGCCCCCCGGGACCAGGTCGACGGTCTCCCAGAGCGGGTGCACTAGAAGAAAGCACAGCGGGGCCATCGTCAAGACGCCGCGATCCGGGATCACACAGCAGGCAACTCCGGTGCTGGCGTGGGTCGAGTTGACGGAATCGAAGTCTCAGGAATTAGCCACCCGGGGGCTCATGGGCCCGACGGAAGCAGGGCACAGAGGCGGCTCAGACAGCGCCTGGCGCAGGAGCAGCCTGCTGCTCTGTCAGCCACGAGCCGCTCGGTCTACCCTCTCCTCTCACCTAAACCAGGTGCCGCCCGGTCTCCTGAGGACAGTAAGATGTGTGCAGACTAGCACCCCGTGGAAGGAGGGTATTCTCAAACGGGTTTCCTTTCTTTATGGATCATCTCCTGAGCCCCACCCACCAACCAGGTTCACATACAAGTACCAATTAATGAAACTTTCTATCGTGGATTTCTCTTCAACAAAGGCCACGGGGGAAGAGGAGGGACAATTTTTGGAACGCAAATGTTCACTAAAGCACTGTAAATTTTTTAATTGCCGGGCTAGGAGGAATAAAGGCTTGCGTGGCATGCGTCTGTAATTTAGCTTGCAATTTGGAAGATTTCTGGATTATTTATACAATGCGATATTACAGTCTTCCAACTGAAATGAGGGCAATACTCCAGGGTTTTGGAAAAATGAAGGAAGGTACCGATGAATCTGGCGAGGAGAAGGAGTCATTTCTTTTCTTTTTTTATTTATTTTAGAGAGAGAGAGC